TTGTCTGCCACATCGGCGTCTGTACGGGATGCCGTTGTCGTTGCCATGGGCTCAATCAACATTCACATATACCAGACACTGCTTGAAGAGCTTCAAGGTCAGGTATCCCGCTGCAACGATGAAGCTCGTGCCAGGATTCACCAGCGAACGAACAGCAGCCCCCGCAGGAACCGCAAGATGGACCTCCTCAGGACGGAAATCACGCATGTCTTCAAACTGACGTCGCATTTCCTGAAAGATCCTCTTGTCTATCAGTCCGACTTCTTCCTTAGCACCCTGACTGCCTACGCCAGAGATCTCAAACTGTTCTTGATGGACGGAGAAGTGCAGATGGACTGGGAGTTTCAAAAGCTGCGGAGATACTACTGTGGGCTCATGGAATCGCTGTATGAAGGGATCAACCGGACCAGCGACCCTGCTCGCTGGATGACGTTTGAGTCTCGGAAATCAGCATTCTCGCTCATGGAGGACTGGTGTGGCTTCTCGCCCAACCAAAACCAGGTCCGAGCCAGAGAGGACAATATGCGGCAGAATCTGATAGACCAGCAATCTCTGGGCGAACGAGGCACGGCCACTGCAGCCATGGAGATTGAGAAGCGCAACCTCAGAACTGCGGCCCTGAGTGCCATGGCTTCCCTGTGCGGCGGGCCCATCAGCTTGACGACGGAGAGCGGTGCCACGCTGCAGTTTGACATTCGCCGAATGCTTGCATGGATTGAGGCCATCTTCAACTCGGGCAGCGACAAGATGAATGTCATCGGGAGGAGGGCTCTCAAGAATCTGGTGGTCCACAACAAAGAATACCCGTACCTGCTGGAGCACTGCATTGCGCGCTGTTACCTGGCGGACGTATCCAAAGTGCTTGAGAGCTACTTCTTGGTCACGGTCGAGGTATTGCAGGACCATCCTGATTACCCCTGTCCCTTCTGGAAGCTCCTCGCCTTGTGCCTGTTTATGCTCGGAAATGATCAAAGCGAGGTTCGATCCAAATCGTCGACAGTGCTGCGGGTGCTCGAGACTCGTCAGCAGAGAAACTCCAAGATTCAAGACTTTGACATCAGCGTCTCCGATAAAACTCAGGCCGTGTACAAGCTGGCTCAGTTTGAAATCTCCAAGCGGCTGGCTAACCAGTATACGGAGCTCGCCTTCCACGTCATCTCCGAGTTTACCTTGTACTTTAAAGATCTTCAGCCAGCAATGCAACGAAACGTCGTTGCTGTTGTCTTGCCGTGGATCCAGGCGATTGAGCTGACGCTGGATCCGAACGGGGGCCCTACAGCCGAGTCCTACGTCCTCTTGGCAAACCTGCTGGAGATCACAATCAAGTCAGGAGGCGCGTTGCATAATGAAGTCCAGGCGCTCTGGCAGGCCCTCGCTACAGGGCCACACCCCGGCAACGTGCGTCTCGTGCTCGATTTCATCATGCAGCTATGTCTTGAGCGGCGCGAACAGAACTTTGTCGAGTACGCCAAGCAGATTGTCGTATTCCTCTCCACGTCAAATAGCCCGCCTGGCAGCAAAGTGGTTGAGTTTCTGCTGACGCAGATCAACCCAAAGGCCATGGTCCCCATCGAAAAGAGGGAGATGGCGCCGACGCCGCCGGATACCAGCAGCATGCCGTACTGCGCAGACTTGGCAGAAGCGCTTCCCGTCGGCACGAAGCAGGCTGGGTTCTCTCTCGGCCAGCTCTCGCTAATTCTGCTCGTGGACCTCATGGTGTCTCCGGTGCTCCTTGCGCCGGATAGCGTGCCATTGCTGCTGCATGTCGTTACCGTGCTTTGGGATCACTATACACCACTGGTCCAGGACCAGGCTCGCGAGATGCTGGTGCATCTCATTCACGAGCTGGTTATGTCGCGCATCGACGACCAGACAGATCCGCAACACAAGGAGTCGATAGAGGAATTGATAGATTTGGTTCGTCAGCATGACCGTTCAGTGGTGTGGAGCTACGAAGACAGCAACGGAAAAGTCAACGACCATGAGAACAAGGTGCCCCCCGGCATGGAGTACCTCACCAACGAGGTGGTCAGGACGTTTGAGGTGTCGTTTCCGGGGATCAAGGAGCAGTGGGGCAGGTTGTCGTTGACGTGGGCTACGTCGTGTCCTGTTAGGCACTTGGCATGCCGCTCATTTCAAATCTTCCGCTGCGTCCTCACCTCTCTGGATCAGTATATGCTTGGAGATATGCTTGCCCGTCTTTCCAATACGATCGCGGACGAGGACCCCGAGATTCAAGCATTCTCCATGGAGATCCTGACGACTCTCAAGACGCTTATTGTCAAGCTGGACTCGGAGAAGCTCATCACCTTCCCGCAATTGTTCTGGACTACCTGCGCATGCTTGGAGTCCATCAACGAGCGAGAGTTTCTCGAGGCGGTGGAGATGCTGGACGTGTTGATTGACAAGGTCGATTTCAGAGCCCCGACCGTGAGGAAGCTGATTGCAGACGGACAGCCAAGCCGGTGGGAGGGCCAGTTTGAAGGGCTGCAGCCCCTGCTACACAAGGGTCTGAGATCATCGCTCTGTTGGCAGCCGACGCTTGACATCATGGACAAGCTGGTTAAGCTTCCTGGAGACGGCCTCATTGGCGACGACAACCGGCTCTTCTTTGCACTGCTGGCCAACTTCCCTCGGTTCCTGGACGAGCTGGAACGTGGTGGTCTCAGCCCGGAGGCATTGAACACGGTCAATATTCTGCTCTCCGAGGCTGATCGGCAGGGTCTTGAGGGCATCGGGCATGTGCTGGACGGATTGGTCTCCGATCGCTTCCAGAGTGGCCAAGACTTCATGGTCCAGCTCCATGCAGCGCTCCGCGAATTCTACCTGCCGCACATGGAGTTCAAGATGATTACGTTCCTGATCGGGCTGCTGACGAACTCGCTGTCGTGGGTCAAGGTGCAAACCATGCGCATTCTCTGCATTGTGATTCCGGACATTGACATGCGAAACCCGGAGATTGCCGTTCATGGGTCTGACCTCATATCACCGCTGTTACGTCTTCTGCAGTCAGAGTTTTGCATGGGCGCTCTCGAGGTGCTGGACAACATCATGACCATGTCTGGAAGCCACATGGACAAGCAGCACCTGAGGATGAGCATGGCTCGCCTGACGTCGAAGGCTGTGCGAAAGGAGTACGAGCGCGCGCAAAGCCTGTTTGGCATTCCGGAGCTGTCCGGATGGGCCATTCCGGCTCCCGCTAAGAAGACGGAGGCGACCAGAGCCAACATCCATGCGGCATTTTACATGTGCCAAAGCGCTGAGGGCTCGTCGACCGAGGCCACGCCGACGGCAGGCGTCGAGTTTCACTCGGAGGACTTCCCATACGGATACTTTGACTCGCTGGATCGGACAGAGACCATGCTGTCTGATGAGGCGCGCGCCGATGCTCATCCTGGCGACCTGGTTACGAAGCTGGACAGCCTCGATGACTTCTTTGACGAGCCTGCGAGCCCCCACGAGGACGATGACGGGCGCTCGTCCATGACAATCACGGAGTTTACGCCCGAGTCATACGAGACCGGGACAGAGCTGTACGACGAACAGATTTTGCCCATTCTGCACGAGGCATCCACCAATAACACTTCGTTCCAGAACGGGTTCGTTGATCGACCCACAGCGGTCTTCTCGGGAGTGAATGCCTCCAATACAATGAACCCAGGGGCATTCTCCGTCGGCGGCGTGCTGTCACCTCCCCGGCCAGGCCTCCACGCTCGCTCCATCACATCGCCTTCCGCGCCACCGTCCCACCACGTGCACGACTTTGCATCCGACGACGAGCTTGTCATGGGCGGCTTTTCGGACGCAGACGACGAAAGGATCGACCTGGGAAGCATGGACGACAGCTCGTCATTTTCGCTGGAAAGCACCTACGGGGCCCAAAGGCAGGGGCCGCCTCCCCCGCAGCCGAATTTCACGCGGCTGACGAGCAGGTCTAGGGAGAGGCAGAGAGATAAAGCGCCTCCGCAGCCGGTGCCGAAGATGTCGAGCAAGTTGTACATGACGAATATACCTGGGCAAGGGGACGTTATCTAGTCCTAGGGGAGGGAGTTATATAGACGTGTATTTTCCCTTGTCATATAGGCTTCGTTTTGTCCTTCTTTTTTCCTTATGTCTTTCTTTCTGGCTGGATCATGAACGTTTATGAGGCGTGTGGGGGTTTCTATTTCAACATGAACTGAGATGCGATGAGATGTTTTATTGAACAAGAAGAAGAAGAAAATGGGCAAACATATAGATGAGTCCTGTCAAGTCACCGAACAAAGCAAATAATACCCCTTTGGCAGATGTTTTTGTTGAAAACGAGGATATGGAGGGCAAGAAGGAGAAGAACATGAGGGTGTCGAAAAGGGGAGGATGGAACAAAAAGGTGGTTGAAGTGGTGTTGAGTATGTATGTGGTATGTGGGTATGTGTGTGTTGTGGTAGATAGTGGTCGATTTTACTTGTTGAATGACTTGAAGACGGTAATGGTCCTGGAATGTCCATGGAGGCCTCTGTATCTGGATGGCTACCTACTTTGTGATGAAGCACAGCTGCAAGAACGATGTGGTTTGGTGTGGTTTTACTGTTCACAATGAAATACTGGCTCGAAGGCATGTCAGTTTGAGCCGGGGCACGTGATCCAATTGGGCACTATTCCGAATCTCAGCTGATGTGCCGTTGAACTCAATCGGTCCAGCTCACATCACCAGAAACTCAAAACTCCTCTCAGTGGCTTGTTCTAACCTCATTCTTTGACGGTAGAAAAAAAAAAAAAAAGGAACAAGAGACGACATATAACGATTCAAGTGAATAACTTGTTTACCTACTCGGGGCGGGGGAAGCAAACCAAACCGAAATCCGGACTACACGTTACAGGCGGGGAGGGGGCATATCACAACTCAACTGCTTCTCTCTCTTCTTAATACAACGTCAAACCACCAGCCAGACACAGACAACTCTTGTCGCTCACAGCTTACCCTTCACTGTCGTCCAAAACTCTTCAACAAATCCGTCATCATGGCTTCAAAGCAGCCAAGCACAGAAAAGGACGAAATGGCCTCTGCCATTTCCAAACTCGCCATTGACTCCACAACAGCAACAACAACAACATCCTCCCAGACGAAACCAAAGGCCCAAAAGAAGAAGAAGAAGAACGAGCCCGTCGCAGACTCATGGGAAGACGAAGACCTCTCCTCCGACGAGGAAGCACCAGAACAACCACAAGACGCCGAACCGACAGCATCATCAACCCCCTCCTCACTGCTCACCCCCGCCGTCCCGCCCCCCACGCCAGCCTCCCCTCTCGCCCTGGACTCCTCCTACGAATGGACAGCAGCAGCAAACCAAGGCCCAAGCCAGAACAGCAGCAGCAGGAGCTCACCCCCGCCGCCCGCCGCAAGCGGAAGTGGAAGCGGGACGACGCCGCCGCCGCCCGCGCGGAGGCCGGAGAAGACGGACGCCGTGGCGAGGCGCATGATTGCCGCCGGGCTGGGGCTCAAGGCGCCGCGGCAGACGGAGGAGCAGCGGGCGTATCAGCGGTCGGTGAGGGAGCAGGAGAAGAAGAGGCGGGATGCGCAGAGGGCGGAGGAGGAGAGGCTGAGGGAGGCTGCCGAGAGGGCCAAGGCGGCGGTTTGGGAGGATTGAAGGTTGGGATATTTGTTGGTTTAAGCAATCATTCTTACCTGGAAATATATTGCTATGTCTTTGAGAGTTGAGATGTGTGAGAAATGGAAATGATTGAAGCCCAAGTTGTCTTTTCCCTTCTGTTGAATTTCCAATTGCCAGTATAGTGTAGTTATATGATGATGACCCGGTCTCCCGTCTCTCAAGCACCTCAACATGTTGTCCACCCGTATATCAACCAAAACGCTCCTCAAGAATCACACAAATGGCACCGGCTCCCCGTTCCTCACAAGCACAACCTCATCCCCGCCCTCCCCTCCCCTCCTCACGCCCACCCCGACCCCCTCCAGCCCAAGCTCCTCCGCCCTCTGATTCCACAGCATCTGCCTCACCAGTCCTCCTGTTCCTCCTCCTCCTTCGCACCAGACATAGCCCATCGCCACGTCCGCCCGCCCAAGCGCCTCCCTCACGCCCCTCGTCGCCGCCTTCCCCCCCACCAGCAATCCCAGCACCCGGCCCCCGCGCCACCCGGGCGGCGCTCCGGCAAAGGAACCCTCGAGCTCGCGGATGAGGTGCGGGCCGATTCTTTGGTTTTCGCCGCCTTTGCATTGTATCAGAACCTTGATGGTCCTAGCTGGTGAAGAAGAAGAAGAAGGTGATGAGGGAGTGGAGGAGGGAATCGTCCAGTCGCCGATGAGGTCGATGCCAAAGTCAGACGCTCCCCCGACGCGCGTCAACGCGAAGCCGTAGCGCGCCAGCCGGGCCGCCACGAGGTATTCGTACCGGGTGCCCGTGAAGAGGGTTGATTTCTCGTCCAGGCCGCGCCGCTTGGCGTCGGAGAGGAAGGATTCCAGGTCCGAGTGCGGTCTTCTTTTCTGCTGCTGCTCTGTCGTCACGGGTGGTTGAGGTTGTTGTTGTTCGGTGCCTTTTTGGTTGGGCTTGCTCTTTGGTCTTGAGGAGGAGCTTGGGTTTTTTGGCTTAGACGGCGATGCTGATGCTGGAGCTGATCTGGGTGTTGACGTTGGCTTCGATGTCGCAAAGGAGCGGACTGTCGTCACGCCGCGGCATGTTTTGGTGGCCGCATGGGTATTGAAGATGCTCTTGAAGTGAGATGCAATGCCATTGCGTGGCATTGTCTGACATGAATGGCCCCCCCAAAAAATAGAATGAAGCAAGTTACCTCTGGTTGGTAGGAGATGCTTGATGAAAGAAGCTTCAACTTGAGATGAAGCTCGTATTCAACAAACGGGGTACATATACCGCTTACTGGAATATCAGACTCAAACCACCTACATCATGGAGATACAATATCACAGCAATGTCCGATATATGGAACAAGTTCAGTGTGAGATGAGCTTTATTAAGATTGGCCAAGTATCTCAACTTGATATGTATTTGTTTCTTCCGCAGTAAATGTTCAACGACCCGTCTCGATACAACTGTCCAAAGCCCAAAACGGCACTTTTCAAGCTGCTAAGAAATGAAGACAATGAACCCGCAATAACTAGGTACTTACATAGTCGCACAATGTGAATGTCCAACAGAGAACAGCGGGGATCAAGTACGGTCTATACCAAAACAAACAAATTTCCAACCAAGAGGACTTCGAATAAGATGAAGCCTAATCCCAATGTCCAATAGCGCCAGTGTGAGTGCGGTTATAATGTGTAGATGAATAGGCTCCAAACAAAGGAGAAGAGCAAATCGAAAATCAGGCCAGGTACAAAGCCATTGAGACAAGTGCTTAATCTTACACACAAGCGAAACGGTGTCGAACTGCTCACTCAGGCGTCTGCTGAGGCTTCACGCCCAGGCCGCGCAGACGTTGAGAGAGCAGGCTCTCTGGGGCATTTCCGGGCGGGCTGCCGGCTCCTGAGCGGTTGAAGGCATTACACCCATAGCCGGCATCGCCCCTGTTGAGCTTTTCGTACTCTGATGGGCCCCAAGTGCCGGGAGATCTCGAGTTAATTGCAGACGGGCCAGTGTTAGCCTGAGAAGACGAACCGCCGTCATTGTTGTTAGCAGCGGTGATCGACCGCGGGAGACGCAGTGGGATGGGTTCAACAGGAGCAACGCCACCGCGACAAGAGCTGGGCGACGGAGTCTCCATGGGCATCTGGTCTGGAGATGGAATGCCGTCCATCCCATCAAAGGCTGGCATGGTGCCGCTCATAAACAGGCCCAGGCTGCGTCGTCGCAGAGCCTTGTCGTTGGCTAACATGGCCCCCGCACCGCCAGACGTCGAAAGCGGAGGGTTCATCACCCGGATCGGCTTATAGGGGGAAAAGCGTGGCTCCGGCCAAGTTGTCTCGTTGCGCAGCTTCTCCTTCCCGTCTGGCACCCTGTTTGCAAACACGACGCGGATGCTCTTGTACAGGTAAAAGCGCCCCTTGGCAGGACAGCAGATGTGCAAATGGACGAGATACCGGAGAATAGGACGATCGGCCGCCGCTTGAGACATATTTGGCACGTTGTCGATGATAGGGCCGGCAGAGTAACTGCGCTGGCGGATAAAAGTCTTGGTTCCCGGCATCATGCCGGTCAGGTCATAGGGCACTAGGAAGAGTTTGACTGCTGTCTTGTTCGGGTTCTTGATGACGATTTGAATCTGCCCGGTCTCTGGGATTCTGTAGCTCCCTCCCGGGGGGGCCCTCGGCGCACCCGATGAACGCTTGAGCCTGTTGCTAGGCCTGCGTCCTTCTCGATCCACATCCGTGTCTGCATCTTGCCCGGCTGCCTCGCCACCGGCCTGTTGCTTCTTGTCACTGTACCGGCTCTGAGCCTTCCTTCGCGACCTCGACTCCTCTTCCGAGTTGGACAGCCCGTTCTCCAGGTCAATCTGGCCAACATACGGACTGGGGCCATCGTCATACGGCGACTGCCCATGAGAAGCGCTCCCGTAGCTGTAGTAGACAGCCGGGAAGGGGAGTGTCACATGTCGCGGGCATCGGAGGCTGGGTTTGCAGTTGCCCTTGCCCAGCACGCCAATCTGGGCAAGGAACTCAAAAGGCTTTGATGGCGTTGTCGACATACGTCCACGCAGAATACTTTCCTCGTACGAACCAACCATGGAAGCGTGCTGGATCGGCGACGTGTCTGGGCCAAAGGACTGGCGTCGAGATCGCATAAAGGCCGGTGTCTGAGGAGACGAGACGGTGTGGTGGTTGTGCCCAAAACTGGGCGCCGAAGTCAACGAGCGCCGAGGCTGGTGTGCTTGGTATGGCAGGGCACCCTCTCGTCGTGACGAGTGTAGGCTGTGTAGCCGTGATCTTGAGGAGGAGGGGACGAGGGACGAAGCAGAGAGACTCGAGGCAAGCCGTACAGGCTTGCTGTGTCTGGCCGAGGGGAACCCAGGCGGCGTTGAAAAATCAACATCTTCGTTCGACTCAGACTGGACGAGGGGGCTGGTCGGAGGCTGGTAGACGAAACTAGACAGCGATGTCGACAGTGGCGAGCCATCCGACTTGAAGCCATCCACGCCGTCCTTGTCCACCAGTCGTGTCCTCCCGCCATGTGCCCTTGCGCCGTACGAAAATGGCGTAAAATGCCTTGGAGGCGACGTCGCAAACCAAGCATGCTCAGGCGTCCCTCGCTCTCCGCCGGTATCTCTTCTGGGGCCGTTGAGTTGCCTGTTCTCAGACGCTGTTCCGTCCCTCGTAAAGTCGCCGCTGTGGAAGGCTGACCTCGGCCGCTCGATGTCAAGTCCATCTCGCTGTCTCGCATCGACGTTCGAAGGTGACTTGATCTTCTCGGGTGTGATTGTCGCTGGCGGTAAGAGGTTGGGCGGTTCGGGCGAGGATCGACCATGTTCTTGCGCGTGATGGGTGTTCTCTTGCTGAAGCATCGACTCGAGCTGTAGTCACAGGTTAGCAAAAGGCAAGACAAAGGACCAGACTCAAGAGCACAAGACCCATGCCTAGAACTTACATGTTTGCCAGGAATCCAAGTCGGGCTCTCTCCTCGTTTCAACCTCTGTATCAGCTCGGCTCTATCCGAGATGCCGGCCTCCTCGTCTGCCTTTGGCGTCGAAAGATGCATGGGGCCATCGAGAACGGGTCCCTCGCACAGCTCGGTTCGAAGGCTCTCCTCGGAAAGGCGACGATTCCTCGCGGCCGCCGGCTCGATACCGACGGGGCCGGAGGCCGGCGATACATGGCATATGTCGTCCTGGAAGATGGGCATTTGCGTATCCTTCTATGGTGGAGTTCCGCAGCAGCTTCAGAGCAGCTGGGAAGTCCCGGATCATGAGGAGAAGAAATCATGAGTATGAGAGAGTTCAGCCGCCGAAACGATGGACGCAGCGGTAGCCAAGAGCGTCACCATCGGAGCCGATCTACTGGCCAGGCGGTTCATCCAAGCGGGACGCTGTGACTGGGCCCGAAGCCCGAAGTCGAGCCCGATGCTGAGCCTGATCCTGCTCGAGTACCAAAGTACGTACAAGTCGGGGAGATGCCGGCTGAAAATTGGAATCAATGCTAGGTATGGATATTGCCTGCTTCGGCTGCTGCACAAGCCGCTGCAAGGGTTGCCACAAGTACGGCGTACAAGGCACGGGCACGAGTCAAACGAGGGGAGCGTCACGGGTGAAGACGGAGAGGACAGCGAGGGGAGAGACGGCGCCGGCTCTGGGGTGGCAGATATTGGAGATGCTCGGGGTCGCACGGAAGAGGCCGTGAAGGTCAAGTTTGTACGAGCGTCATGGACGGATGCTTGATGTCTTATGTTTATCTTTTACTGCCGGGGCGTTGCTGGGCGGTGAATCACGCAAACATTACGTCGGAGCCCGACATGGCGACATGACGGCCCCGTGGCAAGCCGATAGCGGGAAGTCGAATAGCGCGCTTTAGTGGGGTTGGGGATCATTTACAGCGGGCATGGGGCGAGTGTGGGCGCTGTGTCTGGACACTTAGTGGGCGGCAAGGGGACGGGACTGACTATGTGGACTGGACCTCGATGCGTAAACACGCCCGGCGCAAAGTCCTCTGCAACGCTGTGTCTCTAGACTTCTGGTCTTCGTCATATGTTCTGACCGTGCTGCATCCGATATACTATCAAACAATAGAAGTCAACAGAACCATGCACTGCGCATTCTGTCTCACCTCGAGTGGCGTCACATGGACCGCTGACGCTGTTGCTAGCACTGACTTGCATCCAGCTGATAGCCCGGACTTGGCGCTCCGCCGCCCATCGAGCACCTCGGGTACCTGCTCCTGTATGCGTCCACGCAGCCACCGCCTTGTACCCCCTACGGCATGCTTTCAGCACCCCACTAGCCGGCACTGCCGCTGGAATACAGCCCGTGGCCACTGCATTAGTGCGCTGTTTCGGGCGGCTTTCAGTGCTCACCTGTGAGGGTCCCCCCTACCACCGAGCGGCGAGTCGTTATGGCTCCACTTTATGGCCCGGAAAGGGCTTAGGGGCGTATACTCACCTCGCACCTCACCGGCATCTCATTTTGCTGCATAACGTGGGAAAAAAAAGTTGAAGGGAAAAAAGACATCAAGGGACATAGAACCAGCGATTTCATCGCGACACAGGCTAGATGGCCCCCAAATCGACGTCAGAAGGCGCAGATTCAGCCGAGGTTACGAAGAAGAAGCACGGCTTCAGGGTCGGGCCTGAGAACTTGCCAGACGGGCCATGGCGTCGGAAAGGTAACGTTCAATTTCTCACTGCCTCACATGAGGCATGATCAGAGGATTGGAAAACTCACACGATAGCCCATGTGCAGTTGATAAGAAGAAGCGTGAATTGATTCACAACGCAAAGATCAAGAAGCAGTACGCAAAGATCAAGGCCTCGGAACTAAAGACAGCAGAGCCCAAAGCTCGGCCCAATCACGATGAAAATGAGGATGCCGAGCACGATGGCGAGGGTGAAGCAAAGTCAGCGCAAGGAGATGACGCCAAGGACGAAGTCGGAGAGGCAGCCGAACAGATCCATCCCACCAGACAGCTCATGTTAAAGGACGAGAGCATGGCGCAAGCCGGAGCTGTGCCCGACAAGACGACTGGCCCTAGCGACGGCGAGCGACGCAGGACGCGGCGCCCTGGCTACTACGAGAAGCAGCTCAAGAAGGCGGCGGAGCGCCGAGAGGAGGCTGAGAAGAGGAGAAAGGAGTGGGAGCGGCGGATGGAGGAGCGCGCGCAGAAGCAGGCTGAGCGGGAGAGGTTCAAGAAAGCCATGGCCAAGACGAGGGACAAGGACGGGAAGAAGAAGCTGGGCAGGGAGAGCTCGCTGCTGTTGGAAAAGGTGAAGAAGCTTGTCGGTCAGAAGTGAGCAGCAATGGTGGGGATTTTCTTGCATTGTTTGGTGTTTTGTTAGGATACCATGGCATTGATATCAGGTTTGGGGACGGCATGGTCGTATCTTCATACGTCTACCCTAGGTAATAATAGACACATAAATTGGCGTTGATGCTGACTGTAACAGCAAGATGGATAGTGCGTCAAAGCTGGGAACAAGATCACTGCGTGTGAGTTCTCATTGACTCACAACGCGACCCTATAGCAAGCTGAGCAATCTGAAGAAATGCCTGTCAAACCGGTGATTATGGGGCTGTGGATTCTACAAGACTTCGGCCATCTACGTCAATCTCGCAGAAGCAAGTCTCGGAGCCCTACTCAGCCCAAAAGAAAGGGGACAAGCAGAGAAAGGCTGTCTACACGGCATAACAAACACCAATAATTGTCCAATTCAGTTTGAAACAACGGCCACGGCAAGATGTACAGTTGCCTAAAGGAGACACGGCTCAATATCACCAGCTGGAGACGAGCGGCAGGGACTTCATCGGCAGATCGACAGCTCGACAAGGTTTCTTTGCGCATGTGGTTGTTCAGATTCCCCTGGGTGAAACCGCATGCATTTCTGGACCTGGGGATGGTTGACTCCGATTGTACGACATGATCGTAAGCTTTTGATGACCGAAGTTTCCGTGGGCTGAGACAGTGGGAGGGCTGTGGTAGTCGACTCATAGAGGGCTCCGTACGTATACTATATCTGATGTGGTGTTATTCGGAGACTTCGGCCATTGGCAATGGAGTAGTACCGTGTTTGGTAGGTAGTATTATAAGTCAGAGGTCAGAGAGAGCTGGATGTCTGAACAAGGTTCTGATGGACGCGGGCTGCGACAAGGTACAGATCGGGAAGTTGGTTCGGCCAATTGATGGGGGTTGGCCATTTAACTGAGGCGCCTTGGTGGTCTTGATTGTAGCCGGAAAAGCCGCTCTGTTTGGGGATCAATGGATGCTAATGGGATAATTTCGAAGTGTTTGTTGGATACCAAGTGCTGGGGATTGCCTCTCAATTTTGGTGAAGGTTGGGTGAGCGAATCGAAGGACACATGAAGCCACCATCGCGGAGATATACATGCAGTTACATGTACTTGGTACTCACAGTCATCTAAAGAATGTAGTGTGCTTCAGCCGTATTGAATCAAGCCTCTCATTCGACATGGCAGAAGCATGTGCTCATCTATCACTTGATTTCTTCATTTCACCGAGTCCTTGAGACTCAGTGAACCAACGCCCCTCCGAGCCAATCTGATGCCCGCAACGCTCGTTTCACGTTGGCTGGCAAAACCTGGAAAGAAAAGGCCAATCAAGGTGAAACACGGCCCTAGTGAAAAGAAGGGGGTCAAAGTCATGCCGTGAAACACAGCGCGGGATGCTGACTAAGGAATCATTCTTTTCTCCCCCGATACATGATGGAATGTTGGCTTGATATCACGGTTTTTGGCTTCGTTTAGATAGAAATGAAAAGAAAGATAAACGTGGGTGGTGGATTAGGAAAGGGCTGATATGCAGACGGGGTTGTGCGCGATTCCCGCTGCCGAGGCAGATGGAAGTCGAGATTTTCTGTTTCTGGAGTGTGGAATCATCAATTTGAGCCGTCACATCCCCACGGGTTGTTTTGGCGGTGGGATCCCCTGGTCCTGTTAGTTCTCTCACTTGCACGGTAACATGGAACCTGCTTCGTCCAGACAGAGGAAGTCCAGACACAGTTGAAGATACGGAGTACTTGCCTATACATTACATGTTCTTTGCAAGACCTCGATTTGCAAACAGCCTCGGAGGCAAAGATGTTTCAAAAGGGGGGAGGGGAAGAAAACCATCAAGCTAATGCCGTGTACCGACGGCTATTGGTGGCAAGTGTTGTTCACTCAACGTTGAAAGAAGAAATCGTCTTCGTGCTACCATAGTACTTGACCTATGTACAAGGTACCCTGCATTGTTACTTCGAGGCCACAGGGCGCCGTTTGTATAAGGTTGTTCTGCTGCAGAATGTGGGAATCCATGGACGTACGAGGTGCAACGCGAGGCATCTTGGCTTCAATGCGGCGTCAGCTGAACAAAGCAGAGCGAGTCTCGCTGCTGTGAGACATCGTGGCACGTCCGTACACGCATCAATGTATGTATACTACTACCTTGGATAAAGTGCATGCGGTTAGTGATAGTAATCTACAGTGTCGGTTTCAGCCTCTCCGAGTGTGAAGGAGGTGAATCGTGTCGTTCCCCATACGAGTTGCCGCAACACCCAGACGGTACCATCGGAACAGCAACAGACACGCGGCCGATCCCCAGACAGCGCCAAGGCAGGCCGCTACACCCGCTGGAGCTTAGAAGCTGGCTTTTGGTGTTGGTGACCGCTCGTTCGAGTCCCTTATCCGGGGCGGCGGTTCGGCGGCTTGAGGCGCGAGAAGCTCCAAGAGGGGACCGGTAGCTCCCTTCATTTTAGGCCTGAGTAGAGGTACCTACTTATACCAACGTGAAGTGAGTACGGGGGATTGCGAGTAGCATCGACGTGCCCGACGATGTTGGAGAGAGATTTACTTTTGGTGCTCAAAATGTGTCGTCCGTATGAGCAGATGAAGTTGGGGTTTGACAGAATAATGCTTCCTCTACATGTATCCGTCAGCACAGAAGGTCATGTTGCAACGTGCTGCTGCAGGCTGGACCAGACACAGCATGCGGCCCCATGTAGGTATGTACCCTATGTACTTGCATGTTACTGGCCTCGACACAGGTGCATGTTTCAGCCTCTTCTCGAATGGCGAGACACTTGAGACTTTGTAAATAGTAAAGTAGAAAACGAAGGGGAAAAGGGAGCAATTCGATTCTAATATGAGAATTACGCGTATTGTACAAAGTCTTTTCCACTTGGCACGATTGGTGCTTGTTCCTGTTCCTGAAGGGCAGCCCCTGAACTTGGCTTCCGAGGTCAACTTTTGCAGTCGGACAAGCTGCGCCACGTCTGCTGCCAGGTACAGGTACAGGTACCAAGAGAAAAGAGCCGGGTCCCACAACGGTTCGTGTGCTTGGTGTGAATTGAGGGCAAGAGCTTTAAACGTTCAATCAAAAGACGCTCCGTACTAAAAGGCGACCATCTCCTTTATTGTCGTTCATGGTATGGGGTACATAGTACAAGCCTCTCCAACCTCTCACCCATTTGCTTCAATCTTGGGAGCCGTACTGTACTTGATGGTTCCCGGAGCGTTGGCGAGGCTGTTGGGCGGTCGAGCGTGCGTGTACCTTATGTACGTGTAAGGAGTAAGTGGGAACCACCAACTTGCATGCAGATGGTGATATCGGACCATGTGCTTTTTTCTTCGATCTCAGCTCGGACAGATGTGCGAGGCGGTACCAATGGAAGGCGTCTTGTACTACAGTACCTACCCGCTTTCAGTCCAGACTCTTGACGTCCATGGATCTGGAGACGTACCATTAGATGTACCTATAACGTTCCTGAGAAGGAGGACAAGATGAGGCTTGGTATCTTCCGTACAAAAAGCACCCGAAAATGGCGACGAGAAAGGAGAAAATCCCCATCCTCTGCGACAGTCGCCCTGCATCTTCCATCTTCACCATCACGCGCAGCTGATTTGCGTGGCTTGACGCTAAGGTACACAGCATGAACCAAGCGACGTGTTAAACAACCCGTCTGCCGTGAATCTGCACCGTCTCACTTGGGACCGGTACTTGGCCGGTACTTTGCATCTCGACATGGACGCAGCGGCGCAGAACCTGTAACGCCCTGCCAACGCCGAACAATGTACCCGTCCCGTACCATGTTTTAGGGGACCATGGGGGGGCTATTCCTCTACGGGCGGTATGCGAGGGCCGCTATGGGGGGGTTCTGGCAATGGGGGGTCCTGTCTGTTTGGGGGGTCCTTTTTGGGGCGTGGCAGTCCCTGGTACCTGCTTCTACATGTACCAGCAGCACCAACTCAAGGCCAGCACAGCACATCCCCTCCCCGTGGTCCATCTCCATCCTTGAGCATCTTCTGTCCGTCTCGCCGCTATTCCCTCCGCCTTCTCTCCTCTCTCCTCGTCACGATCCTCCTCTCTGCTCGCACCAGCCGCGGCCCCCCTTGTCTTGGAGCAGCGACTGCATTGCTCTGTGTAGCACACGGCTCCAGCCGTCCGCAAGGCCCGACCACGAGCGCCTCTTCTTTTTGCTGCCGCCAGAGCTTGCGCCAAGACGCCTCTCCTCTGCAGTCTCTCTGCTCTGGCCACGACGAGACGACCGACAATACGGAACGGCTTCTGCTTGCTGAGCGTCACCCTATCGATGCCTGTGCTACTCCGCCCGTAGCCCGTCAAACAAGCCCGCATACAACGACCCGGCCGTCTACGCTTTGCTGACGAGAGACATCGGAGACCGCACCGCCTGCGAGACCGCATACAGACACCACGCTGGTCGGGATATATACGCATATAGTGTTGACAAGGCATTTTCCGGCTCCGTCTATTTCACCCTCTAGCCCATCATGTCTGCCGGCATAGTGGACGACTATTTGGAGACGCCGATGGAGGCCGACGATGCGTTCCCCTGTAAGGGCTGTGGTGAGGTTTGTAATCCCACTTCGCGCTGCGGGATGTGCCCCTGGGTCAAGGCCTCGAACTGACGGCATTCGCCCTGTAGATACTTGAAGAAGGCAAAGCTTTTGAATTGGGTAAGTGTTTTCTGCTGTCCAAGCAATGTTAAGGCAAGAGAGAGAACGAGATTCTCTCAATGTCGCCGCAGTCTCTGTCGACGGGCGACCCCCATTGTCCTTGACCGCCACGAGCTTGTCAACATATGTCCATGTCGTGATTTTTGCTCTAGCTGCGTTACTGTGAGCGTACTGTAGCTGACATGTGTCCTGCCAGCTGGCAACCGGTGGCATCTCGACTGCTTTCGCTGCACCACCTGCGGCTCCCTCCTCGACTCCGATGCCAATCTGCTGCTGCTCGGCGATGGCTCCCTCATCTGCAACAACTGCACATACAGTTGCACGGCCTGCGGCAACAAGATCGAAGACCTGGCCATCCTGACGGGCGACCAGGCCTTTTGCTCGACATGCTTCCGCTGCCGAAACTGCAAGCGCAAGATCGAAAACCTTCGCTACGCTAGGACCTCGCAGGGCATTTTCTGCATGGACTGCTATGAGACTCTGATGGCTAGGAGAAGGAAAAAGTCCAAGGCGGCCGCAGCAGCCAAAGCGCGGGAGAAAGACCAGCCGCCAGCGGTGCCGGAAAAGTCGCTCCCTGCCCTCCCGCCGGGGGCCATTCCGAACAATGCCTTCTCCGACGACCGCGTCGACCCCGACGGGCCTACGGAGCTGTCGCCTCGCCCTCGCACCGGCCATCGACATAATGAGTCGTCGGCTCGCGGCGGCTCCAAGGCCTCGCGCTCTCCGGAACGTGCAGCTGGTGATGGCAAAGATGGCCTAAGCCTGCCGTCAACCACATATCGCAGAAACCGCAATTCGACTATTACTTCCAATAACGGTGATGGTGGCGACGGCTTCTTGATATCCGTGGCTCTCGACACAGGCGCCCAGTCGCCCAATGGCTCCCAGAAAGAGGGCACCAGCGAGGCAAGCAAGAAGAAGGACAAGGAGCCTCGGCCGACCATGTCTGATAAGCGCGTCGATTCGCACTCCTCCGCCACGCACATCGCTTTTCTTGGAGCAGCTGCCGCTGCCGCCGCGCCTGATCCCTCGCAGTCGAAGCCGGCGTCTCGATCTGCTTCCAAGTCGGACGCCAAGGCATCATCTTCCGCTGACGACGTCAAGCTTCAGGATGCTCCTAAGAAGAGAAGACCTACTGAGTCGCGGAGCGATAGTTCGCAGTCCGTCCCTCAACAGCAGGACCCCAGTCGGACCGGCACCAGCACTCCGCGGAAAGACAGCACCTCGCAACAGTCCGATCCGCGAAAGGCGATGGACAGCACTCCTAGTTCACGATCGTCTTACGATTCCAAAGGCCAAGATGACGAGATTCCCACCGCTAAGATCGGACCTCGCTCTGACAGCATGAACAAGACCATTCCGCGAAAGGAGGTTCCGTCTGCATCGAACCGCTCTGGTATTTCCCCCCCTCCCAGTACATTCACGTTCGCTTTACTGACGTTTTCGTGTTTCAGTCAATGGCAGCCCAAGTACCGCGCAGGGCAAGACGTCCACCGAGGACGGTCCACGCCAGAGCCCTCCCTCTAGGTCTGGCGCTACTGACAAGGCCTTGACCGACACGTACATGCAGCCCAGAGCCGCGCCTGTCCCCCCAAGCAGCTACACGCAGAGCCCCCCCAAGGAGCCTGCGCCGCCGGTGCCCAAGGGCGCTCACGCCTCGCCGAGCTCGCCCAAGCTTCCTAGGTGGAGCAGCGGTGCAGATTTTACCATGGAAGAGGACATGGTCAGGATACTCGGTGCCGACGAAGGCTCATCGTCGATCCTCAGGCGCGTCTCCAACGCTGTCCGCCACGGCCGCACGAGCAGCGTCGAGTCCAACCAGAACCTTGCGGCTCGAACCACCCACACTCGCAGCATCAGCGAGACGACGCGCGGGGCCATCTCCCCTCGGTGGCCCAAGACGCAAGACGATGCCAACGGCCAGGACCTGGGAAGTCCTTCTTCGCTTACTGCGCCGGATAGCGCCGCGCTGCTTAAGCAGCAGCTCAGGTCTTCTGAACAGCGAGTGGCCGAGCTGGAGAGGCAGTTTGGTGCCGAGAAGGATCTGCTGAGTATCAACCAGAAGCTGATTGAGAAGAGGAAGACGGTTTCCGTGCTGGACACCCAGACTGAGATTATGATTCGACAGTTGGAGGTGTTGGCCGGATACGTCGAGCGGGCAAAGGAGACGCAGGCTCCTATTGACGTCAAGGAGCTGGAGGAATCCGCCATCAAGGAGTTTGTCGAGAAACTCGAAAAGGTCAAGCAGTCCTTTACCGAGGAGATCGAGCGTCTCCACGAAGAGCGCGATCAGCTTGTCGAGGAGAAGAACCAGGCTGCGACGGACCGCGACCGTGCACTCATGGAGTTTGAGCAGCTGTCTTCCAAGAACGCTCAGCTGGCGGACATGAACAACGACCTCACGCACCAGATCCAGGAGCGCTTCAAGTCTCAGATTGGCAACGACGGCAAGTCAAACGGCCTGGGCATCTACAAGGGCGGCGCTTCGTCCATCAACCTCGACACCGCAAGCGTGACGACGGGCACGACGCTCGTCCCCGACGAGGACCCGACGATTGTCGAGCACGGGCCCACCGTGGTCCATGTCCGGAAGGGCCAGGTCAAGAAATTCAACTGGAAGAAGGGGTCCAAGACCATGGCCCAGAACATCACCAAGGGCGTCGGCCGCGCCGTCGTTGCTTTTCAGAACGATCGCGAGCGGATGCAGCAGCAGGGCGGCATGCCTCCTGGCGGCGACAGCATTGGCATCCCGTACAACATGACCGTGGCCCAGAGCGACGCCTCCGAAAAGGCGGCTTCCAACCCTTCTGCTGGACGACAGCATCAACAGCAGTTTGGCTTCTTTGGAAAGAAGAACGCGTCGGCCAAGACGGGCCCCGTCGCCCCGGCCAATGTCGTAGTCGCGCAAGCGGCTCCCGAGCCTCCCTCGACACTGTTTGGATCCGAGCTTGCGGAGAGATGCGAGTATGAGCATCGCCAGATTCCTAGTGTGGTGACTCGATGCATCGAGGAGGTGGAGCTGAGAGGCATGGATCAGGAGGGCATCTACCGGAAGACGGGCGGCAACTCCCAGATCAACCAGATCAAGGAGGGCTTCGACAAGGACGAGGACTATGACATTTCCGATCCCGACCTCGACATCACCGCCGTCACGAGCGTCTTGAAGCAGTACTTCCGAAAGCTGCCCAACCCCCTGCTGACGTTTGACATTTACGAGAAGGTGCTGGAGTCGAATTGTGAGTTTTGTCTCTTGATCCTCAATCGTTGGCGTCTCTTTTATTCTAATCTTTTATCGCAGCCATCATCGACGAAGCCGAACGGTGCTCGTATCTACACAAGGTCTTTACTTCGATGCCCCAGAGCCACCGCGACTGTCTGGAATTCCTCATGTTCCATCTTCATCGCGTGGCAATTAGAGAGCCCGAGAACTTGGTGAGTCATTTTCAGCGTCCCTCCCCATCGCCACTCGATGACAAGTCGCTCGTTCTAACCTACAGCAGATGTCGCCTAAAAACTTGGCCGTCGTGTTCGCGCCAACCATTATGCGGGATCTCAGCATTGAGCGTGAGATGACGGACATGCACAACAAGAACCTTGCGGTTCAGTTTGTCATTGAAAACACGCACAGGATCTTTGACGATGAATAAGTGTCAGTACCAACACACAACAACTTGCGGAAGGCCATGTTGGTCGGCCACAGTGTGTGTGTTGGTCCCTGTTATGCGCTCACGGCTACTGGTGGTTTCTCGTCATGATTCGATTCCCCCTTGCTTTCGGGTTTGTCGGTTTTAGCGAGACGAAGTTTCTTTTGGCGTTTTGTGCGTGTCCATGAAAAGTAATGTCGACGTTTCTATCTCCCTTTCACGCTGGCTTCATCATCAAGAGCGAGATTGCAACGAAAGGCGAGGCTGGGGCACCGTCTGCCTTTTCTTCCGTTCCTCCTCGGATTCTTGCACCGTATTTCCCCTCACACTGCTACTTACTGTTTGTTGGTGGCTTTTTTCTTCTTCCGTTTCGCCCGCCCCGGTTTGGACTTTTCTCATTTCTTTACATTGTGGGCGGCATGACATTTATGTATCTTACAACATTCAACTCGAGCTAGCTTTTGTGTGGCTTGGTCACGAACAAACAGGCCGAAATGCTTTTGGTTTTCCTGAAATTCTTCGCTCGAGTTTATTATGCATGTTGCTTCCGAAGAAGTACCTTTTGCCTTTTTACGTTTGCCAGCATTGATGAGATGAGAGAGGGGGGATGCTACGATAACTTGTGTCCTCGTTGGACTTTCTCGCCCCCCCTTTTCGTGTGCCTTTTTTTTCCTTGACGCTGAATCTTGGCGAGCAACGTTGTTTTACTGCAGTGCCTTTTACCTTTTTTCCACGGCTACCTACGACATTTTTGTACTTTTGTGCTGTTGTACTCGTGTATTTGTGTATCATTGTTGCTTCTGTCTTTTCTATCCATGTCTTTTGTAACCATTTCATGCGTTGAAACGTTTTTGGACTTTTGATTGCATTTTGTCACATTAAGCAGGCGGGGCGGAAAATGTAGATACCAGTATAACCGAGTTCAAAAGCCCGATTTCTTTCTCTAAAGTTCTGAGTGAGGGGAGGGAAGGTTGAGTTGGTTGATTGAACACTTTCTCATCCTGAGAGAAACGAAGCGAGTCAAGACGGGAAGAAAAAAGGGGCAAGGAAGGGAAATGTATAAACATTAATGAGATTGTATATGCACCACTTTCCCTTACCTTACCTAGCTGAGGTAGCTGAGGTGCTTTTTTTGCTTGTTAATGTGAGGCATGGGTTTTTATGTATATATAAATATATATATATACTACCTATATATATACTCTTTGTATGCCTAGGTATAAGAAGTGCTGGATTTCTAGTATCTGTCAGTGATTTAAAACGTCATGTTATGGTGTTAATAGCAAAGGAATTGCAAGTTCCTAGAAAGACCTCACGTTTCCTTCTTTTTACCTACCTATATCTCAGGTTACGACACAGATCTGCTACTTCTATCAAAGGTGGCCCTGCTCACATCCTTCGCCAATATTAGCCTCGCCCAAACTCGCAGATCAAGTGTTATAACAACGAAATTACAATAACTACCTAGATAAAAGAAACAGCTGCTATCTACTGTAAATTAAAAAACAGGGTTCTACTAGCAAGGCCCAGCCGCTCAAAGTTGTCACCAGGCAAAGAATGACAGTTACTTGAAAGAAGAAAATAAAAGGACCCAAAAAAGGTCACATAATGAAATACAGCTTTTTTGTTCTCGAAAAAACACATCGCAGAAGCAAAAAGTAGAAGAAGGGAAACAGTAGTTTTGGTTTACAAGGACAATAGTACTAATAAGACACGAAAAAGATGAAATCAAAAAAGAAGAAGAGAAGAATTCAAAAAGCCGAGGGAAAGACGAAGGAAAGAAGAAGAAGAAGTCTCACTTCACCCGCTTTTTGTCCTTCCAACACCCATCCGTCCATCACAGACATCCACGTATTCCAAGTTCACGTCTACTAGAGTAAACACTCGTTTCTCCACGCATCGTCCCATCCATCAGAGGACTTTCCCTCGCTCAGGTTCTCCAGAGGCCTCTCAGACCTTGAAACCAAACGCTGGACATCGGAGCGGCGTGAAAGCAATCAAAATAATCCAAAGCCAAGAGCTCATGAAAACATGCCATCCTCGCGCTGCTTCTTCACAATGTAATACGTAATCAAGCTCTTCGGATCGTCCCGAATCTCAGCCATGCCCTCCCAGAAAGCCGCCTCGCCGACGCGCGCATGCAGCGCGACGCAAAGCTTGACGGCGTCCATCCGCACGCCCGAGTCCGTCGACTCCAGACACCGGCCCGCCAGCCCAGTCAGCCGCAGCAGCTCCTTGTGCGTCGGCACGTACTCGGGCCGCTTGTCGAGCATCTCCTTGAGCACGTGGAGCCCCATGCTGAGGGTGCGGCAGCCCTCGACGGTGGTGTCGCTGCACAACTGCAGGCGCTTCGTGAGCACGACGGCCGTCTCGGAGCCGTCGCTGAGCGTCACCAGCTCGTCCGCCAGGAGCTCGAGGCCGCTAACCACGTGTGCCCTGGTGTCGTAGCTGCCGCGGGTCTGCAGGAGAGACTCGAGTCCCCGTGAAACGTGAGGCTGAAAGTTCTTTCGCTCCTTTTTCAGCAGCAGCTTGATCGTCGTCAGGATCTGAGCCTTGACGTCCTGGGCCTTGTCTGCGGGGAGGTCGGACAGGGGATCCTCGAGGTACTGGAACAGGCCCACCAGAAGGGCTTCGAATCGCTGATCTGTGAAGACGGTCTTAGGGTCTCGGATCAGGGACTGCAGCTTTCGGAAGCCGTGCACTTCCAGCGTCTTGGACCTGATCTTGGAGATGCCGCTGTCCAGGAGTCGAGCATTTTGTCCATTCTTCTCCGGAAGCCCAGACTCGTCCGACAGAGACCTCCGAATGTTGGCGGCGTCTTCGTTGATCGTCCTCTCTTCCAAAACAGGCGCTGTCGGCAGCGATGGGGTCGGCATCGGCTGGTCTTCAGTAAAGGGGTCTTCGTATACTTTCAGTCGCGGAGACTGCGAGTTTCCAGAGGGGAGAACGGCGGGAGGCGAGGCGGGCATGTATGCTGGCTGCCGTGGCGACTCTAACCTAGGCGCAGCCGACTGTATGCTAGAAAGTGTCGGTACCACCAGGGTAAGATCGTCGGTCGCCCTGGTTGGACTCATGGTATGAACCGTGGTTTGAGAGTGCCTAAGCCTGGCTGGGCTGGCTCGCGGTGAGGGGATTTGCGTCGGCCGCACGAATGTGGGCGAAATCATGCCCGACTCGCTTGCGTGAGATGCATGGTGAGCCCTCGAGGATGGCCTCTTTGGCGTGGTCGCGCCTCCTTGCCTTGAAGAGGTCGACGACGTCGCAGAGGTAGCTTTGCCTGGCTCTGGGCTGGGCTGGTCTCGAACCGAGTAAGGGCCAGCCGTTGCGGGACGAGCCACCTCTGGTCGTCTCTTGGCTGGCCGCATAGGAGCTACCGACATGCCGCCTGCGTTGACCGATATCGTGTTAGTGTCGGTTCGGTGCCGCGCCAGCGGCTTCGAGGCAGTTGTGCTGAGCTGCGGGTTGGAAGTGTGAGGCGAGGCGGTGGTGAATGAGGACATGGCAGATCCGGGCCGGGTTGGTAGGTTTCTCGTCGCCAGCGCGGCCTTCTTCTGAGCCAGCATGGCGTCTCTCAGGCTGGGCTTGCTGCTGGTCGCAGTGGTGCTCCTCGAGAAGCCTGCGCCTGGCCTGGCAGCGGCTGGTGCTTCCACCTTTTTCCCCGAGCTGGGGTTGTTCGGGTCCTTCAGGAGCAGCTTCTGGGCGGTAGTGTCCAAATCGGCCATCAGTCTAATGAATTGATTGTTAGACAACTTCCCTGTGAGATATCAAAGTATGCAAAAGACTTACGCATCAGCTCTTGCTGGCCAGATCGTCCAATATCTCCAGTAACACGCCCGCATCTTTTCCCTGACGGTGGGGTTGGCGTCACCCAAGGCCTTCTTGATACACTTCTCGATCAAGTCAACGCCCCCCGTGTGCTCAATGTGGTTCTTGTGATGGGCCTCCTTCTTCAGTATGGTAATCAACCACCCGGCCGCATACGTTCGAGGCTGCACATTCTTGTCCTGGACGGCGCCCCAAATGTGCTGCATGATGCGGGGCGTGTACGTGACCTTGCTGATGATGACGTCTATGGCAGTGTTGGCCATCTGGGAGCTGATCTTCTTGGTATTGGCAGACAGCTTCATAAACGTCTGCATGAGGAGCTCGACCAGCGGATCCATCGCGGGCCCAAACGCGACGGCCATCTCCTGGACCAGACTGCAGCCCTCCTTCGACAAGCTTGTGCGCAGAGAGTTGATGGCCTTGATGATGCCGTCCAGCAGCCCCTTGAGGCCAACAATGAACGTGTCCGTGAATTCGGCCGGGGCGTTGCCAGCCACCAATCTCCGCAGCGTCACGATGCTCTGCTCTCTCTTCATCCAGTTGTGTTCGGACTCCTTGCCTTCGAAGTATGGGGTCATCTCCCTAATGATGTCGTCCAATTCGCGATTGGTGTTAACGTATTGCGGTTCAACGGGTTCGGCTGGAATGTCGGCCATCGGGGTCGTAGGTCGTTCGCTGGCGGCAAAAGACGAGGGCGCGGACAGGGCAGGTCGCGAAGCAGTAGGCGCGGCATCTGATGGGGTCTCTGAGCGAGGACCGGCGGGCGCAAGAGCCTTGACGATGGCCTGTTCGATGGCGGGTCGGATCTTGTAGTTCTTCAGTTGTCGCTTCAGGTCGGACTTGGCAGCCGCGGGCGCATTCCTGAGCATTGAATTAGCCGAACTGTATGAACGATGTGAGAAGGAGGTGCAGGGTGAATCTCACTTGAAGAGTTCGATCACGGTGCTCTTAGCAGTATCTCGGACCATTCCGTCCGCATCCTCCAGAAGATCCATGAGCATGGGGACGAAACTACGAAACGGCAGTCCGTGCTGTTGATGAGTCTAGAGAGAGAGAGAGACAGAGAGAGAGTGATTAGTCCTCAGCCAGCACGAGTACACCCTCCACAGAATCGATGTATTACCTCCAAAAGCCACTGCATAGACGCCTCCTTGGCCCTCGGGTTCTTGCCGACCATGGCCGTGTTTCGAATCGAGCGCTCGACGTCGGCGGGGGCAACGGCGTACAGCGTGTTGAGGCTCTGCAGCGCCAGGGCGCGGGGCTTGTCCTTGGAGTCGCCCAGCTTCTCGATGACGAGGGGCAGCGTGCGCGCGGCCTCTTTCGCTAAATGCTTGGGCTCCTGGCGCGACATGCGCGTAAAGAGGTGGTTGAGCGCCGTGAAGCCGGCCGTGGCCAGGGCGACGTGCTGGGAGCTGGAGGCGAGGCGCAGGCCATCGAAGAGCTGGGGGATGCACGTCTCGGGGATGTTGTGCTGCTTGATGCCGGACTTGATGGCGTTGACGTACTGGACCTTGACGTCGAAGTGGGTGTTGTCGTTGCGCAGGACGGTCGCCAGGTTGTTGACCTGGTCGTCGGTGAGCTTCGTGTCGGCCATGGCGCCGGTGGCAGGCCGAGGCTGCTGCTTGCTGGATGACCTGCGCCGTGTCAGCATCGGTCTGCTGCGCATGATGCTGTTGAAAGGAGGGAGTGACTCGCGGTTGTTGACTGGCTTGTCGCAAAACCAACAGCAGAGCCTGGCGCAAGTTGGGGACTCACAGGAACAAGGTGTTGCGCCTTTGCGATCACACACACAGACACACACACTCTCTCCGATCTTGTGCTTCTTTTTCTTTGTTTCTTCCTTCTTCTTCCTTCGTCCTTGTCTGTTGTCGCTCGTCCGGCAAATGCTAACGTCTCAGACACACAATGCGCAGCAATCGCTGGAATGGCAATGGCATCTGGAGCTGGAGGGGCAGCCGCAAATGGATTCTTATGTAAGTCGATGATCGTTCCCCTTTTCCCTCCTCTGTTGCCTTTCTATCGCCTTTCGATCTGCTTCTGCGCTTTATTCAGCCCTTTCGATCCTCGTGGGCGCAGCGAAGCGCGTGTTTATTTTTTTTGTTGACGTTGCGGCGACGGTGTTGTGTTGGAGTTGGCGTTGAGTGTGTGTGGAGTTTTCGTGCTCTCTTTTCGTCCAGCTCATTTCCAGCCCAAAACAACTGAAAAGAAAATAAATCAAAGGAGCGAGGATTGATTTGTTGCGGCGTGACGTGACCATGCCTGTTGCCCCGGTCGCCGGTGCGCCACGTTGTGGCTTAGCGCTGGCGGGAGCTTGAGCCTGTTGGCGGCTTGTGCGGCGGAAGATAACCTCTGCAGTTGAGCGAGACGGCCCTCCCTGGGAGGGGAGGAGAGGGGCTGCAGGCGCCGTGTAGACGGTACTTTGGCAGGGACCTTGATCAAATGAGATTTGGCGGGTCCAGTGAAGCTTCTCCCGGGGGCTGGCAGTGGACACAACGGCGTGGCGCCCCTGAGAGCGACAGGTATCAGATACTTGGGGAGCAGCCGGGAGAGCTTCAGGGCCCGTCGGAAGCGTGGCTTGGGCGGTTCAAGAGCCCCCCGACCGTTACTAACCCCTACAGCACATGTAGTATGAGGCCCAGTTCAAGTGCCAGCTAGGCTAGGGTCCCCTACCCCGCCATCGTGATGTGCTGCAGCCCCGCGAGTCGGGATCAAAGAAGTGTTGGTGGGTATGAGACAAGTTGCTGCGGCTGAGGAAGGATGAGAAGTGACTTGTCCATGTGCTTTTTTCTTCCATGGTTGAATTCCATCGAGAAGAGCTGGAATGACTCTGTGATCTGATGTCTCAGGGGATCCATCGTTTGACTGCTATATACGCAGTATAGCTATAAAGGCTCGTTCTCGTCCTTCACTGGTTGATCCGTCAGCTCACCTCAGCCTCGTCAGATCTCATCAGAACCTCCCCTCACGAACTTTGACGATATTCATTCACATCCATAGCAATCACATAATCATTACAGCACCATGACTCTCATCCCCAAGCCAAGCCCCCTCCCCCCCTCCTCCGGCCCAGACAACAACAACACCAACACCACCGCCACCCAAGATCACAAACAAGAACAAGACCAAACCGCAGCAGCAGCAGCCAACGAAGCCTTCCCCCAACCCCCCCTCAACCTCCGCATCGCCAACCTCGCCCACCCCGGCGCCTCCCTCTTCCTCTCCTCCACCAACCCCTCCGCCGTCATCCCCCGCGCCATCGGCAACCTCCTCCGGCTCCTCTACGGCACGCCCTCCGACCCGTCCACCACCCCGCCGCCCACCTCCTCCGTGACGCTCGTCCTCGAGGACTTCAACGGCGTCGCCTACACCGTCGGCGCCCAGGCCGACAGCAACGTCAAGGAGATCCACTTCTCCGAGTCGTACATTGCGCGCGTCGACCCCTCGCGCGTCGCCCGCGAGATCGACGGCGTCTTGACCCACGAGCTCGTCCACTGCTTCCAGTACAACGGCCGCGGGACGGCGCCGGGGGGCCTGATTGAGGGCATCGCCGACTGGGTTCGCTTGCGCTGCGGGCTGGCGCCGCCGCATTGGAAGCAGGAGGTCAAGGATAGCTGGGATGCTGGCTATCAGCACACGGCCTATTTCCTGGATTATCTTGAGCGCCGGTTTGGGAACGGGACGGTGCGGCGGATTAATGAGAAGTTGAGGGTGAGCCGATATGACGAGCGCGTCTTTTGGACGAGCATTTTTGGACAGGATGTCAAGACTCTGTTTGCAGACTACACCAGGACTTTGAGACAGAGCTCGTAGTTGGTTAGATACGAGGCATGATTTTGGTTTGTGAGTATGACGGGCATGTAGCACATATTGGCATAAGATAAGAAGCATAGACTGGTACAATAGAGAGACTCGGTTCAACCCGACATGGTCGACTTGTAGATGGAAGATACATAGGTAGAATGGACCATAGGCTGGGAGCGCAACAGAGACGCCGAATATGGACATGTGTTGGGTATCAACATGCCGCAGCCGCCATTATCAACCCTTATTTGGAATCCAAAGCGCTAAGAAAACGAACAAAATACCCCGTACACATAGTACAGAGGCCCCGTAAACGATGGGAGGACTGGCTACCGCGGTAGTGTCATGTCTTGACTTGTGAAGATGTCCCAAAACGCCAGATCCCAACGCCACACAGTTATAAGTCCACCGGAAATCATCAACAGAAAAGAAATCAGTAAAAGGCATGTGGTAGAGTCCCGTGCATGAAGACGATCCAAACATGCATAGACCATTCATCACATCTTACACTCATGCGTGCATCGGGCCCTCGTTGTCGCTGATGACGCTACCCACCTCGGACCAGCTCGCCGGAGTGAGCATGCCCTCGCTCTCGCTCATGACGTCCATGTACCGTCCGTTGCTGTCGCGCTCGGAAATCTGCGCATCATTGGCAATGTCCTCGCCGGACCCAACGAGAGACACCGAGTCGGTGGGGGTCAGCTCGCCTTCTGAGATGACGTCGGGCTCGGACATTGGCGCTACGGGAGTCACGGGGAGGGGGGAGTAAAAGTCACGGCTCGAGTCCTGTGTCGGGGAGTAAAAGTCACGGCTCGATTCCTGGGCCCAGGCCTGGATGGTGGCGTGGACGTCTTGGCGATCGGGCTGGCCGGCGGACATGAACTCGTCCTCGGCAAGCTCTCGCTCGAGGGTCGGAGGCGGCGACTGCGAACCGGCGGAGGGCAGCGGGGTGACATCAACCAACGGCGAGGGCGAGATGGCCTCCAGAGTGGCGCTTCGCTCCTCATGGTCATCACGGGTGGTGGCGCTGTAAATGTCGGACATCTCGCTGGGCTCCGGGCCGAGCTGGTGGGCGATGTGGGCGTCCTGGATCTCATCGGCATCGAGGTGATGCTCATCGGCAAAGGGATTGGAGTACGCGGGCGACATGAAGCCCCGGGCGCCTTCTCCGCGACGACGAAGGCCGCCAAAGTCCCTAACGTCAGCACCCGAGTTGAAGACGTATGCGCCCTGCTCAGCGGTGTCGTCGGGCCGCAAAAAGTCATCAAATGTCGATCCGCGGCGAGGCAGCTTGTCAGGCCGAGGCGGCGCTTCAGACGAGTTCTGCGGCTGCTGCTGCTTCTCCTTGTCCTGCTGCTGCTGCAGCCGCACCGAGTTCCAGTAGAGCAGCTCCTCTCTCTGCCGGCGGCGGGTTTCGTCGTCAGCGTCGACGCCGGGCTCAGCGCCGAGGCCGCGGCGGGACTCGAAGAAGCCGTCGGCGTCCTCGGGCCTGTTGAAGCGGGGCTCGCGGGCTGGAGGCGTGATGCCGTCACCGATGGAGTAAAAGGCCATGGCAATGCGTCGTCTCACGTCGTCTGCGTACTGGCGCAGCTCGGGGGACTCGTAGATGGCGATGAAGGTAGCCACTGCGACGGACACTGCAACGACAGCGCCCGAGGCCAGGACGACATGATGCGCTATGGGCATGATGGCGGTTTTGGCGGGTTTATGTAGGGCGTAGAGGCAAGTGTAGGAGTCGGGTAGAATGTAAGGTGAGGCAAGGTCAGAACCAGAGCTGCCGAGGAGCGAGAGGGGCAGCAGACGGGCGGCTAAGGCACAGACAAGGCACAGACGCAAGGCAACGAGAGCCTGAGCTGCTGACTTGGGCAATGCGGACCAACGAGCCGCTGCAGCTCTGCGATTGCGTGTTCGAGGGTTATTTCCGGAGATGATGGGGAGGAGGAGGAAGATGAGAGAAGAGGGGAGAGGTGATGGAGGAAGCGAGAGAGAAAGGCAGCAAACTGAGCGACAGACGGTCTGTGGACTCTGCTCTTCCGCCGGCTCTACCTTTGGCAGCTCAGGTGCTTTTTTATCGCCAGGGAAGAAAGAAGAGATGGAAGAGTTGAGGAGGTTCCGCCACAGCAGAAGAGAGAAGAGGGACACTGTCCAGCCTCAAAGCCGCCACACGAGTTCTCAACAAGCGAGCAGGCGAAGCGATTGCGTGGTCCTGGGCGGGCAGCTTTGCCACCTCTGCTGGGCGTATTCGTAACGCTGGTGCGCGGCCTGGGGGGCAGCCTGTTGCTTGTACCCGATACCTCAGGCTGCGGGCGTCACATGACCGCTGACCTGTCGTGACAACGCATCGAATTGCTGCCTCTGGCGCATGTACTCGATAAGGTATGGGATACCTCGTGCCCAATAACGAGGCCTGACGACTGCTGGAATCGAGTCGAGTTGTCTGACAAGTGGTGATGGTGATGTGTCGGGTGGAGGGAGAGGCCCATCTGTACCTTACAACTAAGTTATGGCGGGTTGCAGGGCCTGTGCTGTTAGTGCTGGACAGAGGCACTAGCAGACGCAGGCTACTGCTGCTTCATGTACGATGATGGAGGCGTATGCTGGGGTTAATGAAGACGCATGTGCTGAAGATGATACAAGGATTTCTAATTGACGGACTTGAAAATACGTCGCAGCTCATATTACTGATTGGCACAGAAGGTGGTGTTCTTCAACAGAAAGAGTTGATACTACTGTACTGAAAAGATCACCAATTGTTGGCCTGCACGAGGCTCCCTCGGCATATCATCCGCTTGATCGTCGACCAACGTCCCAAAGAGCACACCGAGGAATCAAGGCGCCAAGAATGCCTCCAAAATGAGGAAGGTGAAAGACTATGACCGAATAGTGCTTCACCATAGATAGAATCACCGCGACATCCAACTCATCCCGTCGCAGCCATCAATCAGGCAGCACAGGGAAGCTCGTCAACATTGTGTCAAAGAAATCTTGTCAAGATACTACATGTTTTCACATCGCACAACCCCCAGCAATTGTGTCACGCGAGCACCCCGACATGCAAGTCACAGCCGACGTTTTTCACTCAACGTCCTCCGACTGCTGGGAATCTCCAACTGACGCATCTGTGGAACCATAAGACACACGCAGCAGACGGACAATTGAGCAACGACACAAGCCTACCATAGGGAGGTAATATATACTGTGTGATATGGTATGATTCTGTTTCTGCAAAGACAGCTCGAGTCTAAAGACTGTTCCCAATCGCTAAATCACCCCCGCCATGGATATCGAACACCTGCTGCCCAAACGGAGCAGCAACCGATTGAAATGATATGAGGAGAACTTCCTCAAACGCCATAACGCAGACTCTTGCCTCTTCTGCGCTTCTCTTTTTTTTCTTGATTTTACATTCTTGTTGCTCTACTTTGGTCCTTTAGTGTGACTCGGTAGTAGAGGTAGATCCGGTCGAAGAGTTTGAATCGCTCGAGTCGCTGCGCTTGGCCTTCATGCGCTCACTGCATCCACGAGTTAGAGATTTGCATTCGCGAGACATGAAAGGCCAGGGTTACTATACGTACTACTGAGCGCGGTCCTGCAGGGTGCACTCCCAACGAGCATTGCCCGTCTTGATCTGGAACTTGATGCCCTTGTTGTCGCCGAGACCGGCGGGCGCGGGAGCAGCGGTGGCAGCTGCGGCAGGAGGAGCAGAGGAAGGCATTTTGAAAGGCTGTGTTGTTTATGTTGCGGTTGAATTGCGTGTAATGTAGTTGTTTGTTCGTAACGGGAGCTGAGCAATCAGGAGAGGAATTGACAGGGAAAAGAAGAAGGAGAAGAGAAGAGCCAGTGTGGGTAGCATGGGGAAGTCGGGATGCCTTTATACAAAAGGTACCAGTTCCAGCTTCTACGATTATTGTGATAGACCAATCACCGAATCCAATTAAAAAAAGGCGGGAACGGAGATCCAGCGATCCAAACTCGGGCCGGCGACAAATGGATACGGATTAAGGTAACATACGCAAGGGTCCACGGCTTCGGGGGAATTTGCCTCAGCCTATCACGGACATGACAGTTTATGGAACTGTACGGAGTATCTGAAGCAGAGTTTCTAGGTTTCCGTGCTTGTGATTTTGTTCTTTTCTGGGGGTGGTGTCTGCTATCCGTGGAGGGTGACTCCCCTCCATCGGACAGATAGACAGCCAAGCCAATCGATGATACAGTAGATGCCCGGATCGAGCAGTCCGAGGATTCTAGAACCTCGTCACAGGAGATAAACCTCAAGCCTCCTTTACTACCCAAGTACAATACAGTGTGTATCAGTCTTGGAGGTCCAGGTACATATGTATGATTAGCCTTTCAGCTAGATCAGGGAGGTGAGCCATTTAATTCCCTCTTGGTTTAATCAACTGAGACTAGCAAGTCGTACCTTATTAGCAGCTTGGTGTTCCGGACTTTTGATATGTGTGGAGTATTGGGGGTTGCTCCGTAATACTAATTACACAGCGTCCCTGCTTCTACTATTTCCCCCGGTCCATGGCTATGTAGAATGGATACTACCGTCTGGAGAAGAGGAGAACTGATTCATGGCGAGTGTGGACGTTCGACACACCCCTATTCGGTGGTTGTGGAAGACAATTTACACGTATTCACATGCCCTTTTCGCTGGTTTGTCTCTCGACAGAATTGATTGATGTTAGACGTGGGATTTGCTCACAAATTCATCAAGGTGCTATGCATCTGTCTCACAACATGAACCGCCCCCACGCAACGACTGCAATACTATCCAAACAACCTAGCCTACATGATAGTCTATGTAGTACGCATCAATTGTGACAAACAGCACCTTCACCGAGCACCTGCAAGCAGATTGACGGATGCTACGCCTTTGCATGTCCGTCGGTCGGCCGAAGCGGGCAAGAAAGTGCTCCGGACTCCGTCTCACAGCCGGAAATTGCAGACAAGCAAGAGAAAAAAAAAAGCAAAGAACAGCGAACGGCATTGAGCAGTCCAATGCAACCCAGTGCAGCTCTGTTCGTCTTGGTACAAATATAGAAATTGGCGGTGATGGGATTCGAGAAACTTATTGGAGAGAAAGAAAACTCGACGATATAAATTAGTAACAGAGGAACCCCCAAACTGTGTGACGTGATGCTCAACTGCCACACACACACACTTTTTGCTCATCAACGTTGCAGCGAAGCGTTCTAGAAGCCGCCGCAAATGCCGATACCCGACGATGGAATGCCAGCAAGGACAGCCCGCATGTGATGCTACACATCTACTAGATAGGTAGTACTACAGACATTGATACACCGTTGCCATCGTATCTAAACTCTACGTGTAAAGGAATCAAAAGCGTGAAAAGCCTCCGAAGAAATAAGCTTTACGTACAACCTTTCACAAAATACGACTCCATATCACTGATCTCGGTGCTTTTAAGATGCGAAGCGACGAAGAGGATACAACTTCTTATGTCCGCCGAAAGAACATATTGCTGAACCTTGTTCCGGCCCCCAAAGACCAAAAAGTCCAAACATGTCACACAAATGTTAGAAGGAAAGAAGCTCAGCTTCGCAGCAAACTACAAACCCTCCCTTGCCTCCGTAGCGTCAGGTTCTGCGCAGGATTTACATACAACCCCGTTTTTGCCAGCACGAAGCAAGCCCAAAAGCCACTCTACATCACCACTCACTCACGAAAACCCCCCACAACGCCGCCAACGATCAATGACATTATTTGTATCTCAGCGGCTTCTCTTTCCCTCGACCCCTCTTTCCATCAGCCTCTGGATAACTCGGCTTCCATCTTGTCCTCTCCCTACTTGAGCAGCCGTGGTTCTGGATTGGTTGAAGTAGTCTAGATGTCAGACGAGATGGTGGCGCCGCTTCGGTAGATGCCCGACGGGTAGTTGATACTAGATGATGAGTTGACGGAAAGGACACGGATAATCGCCCAGCACCATCTTCACTTTTTTACTCGACCAGAATTGTGAGCTGATGCTATTGACATGCTTCTGGGCTCCACGATTACATGGCTTTCATCCCGCTAAAGATGAAAGATGCAGGAAAGTCAATACAGCGGGTTTTCGATGGCGCAAATAACACAAATGAGAAAGTTCAAGTTGTCTGCATGACGTTGTACAATGATAACGGTCTGACTAGATAATAGTAGTCTGCTTCCATGGGGAATATGCGGAACGGAGTTTGACAAAATGACCTTCGGCCTCGTCTATAATCTGTTCGTTGCCGCAAGGCCCGTTGGACGAAATGGCTGCCGCCATCGACGACTTCAACATAGCTCCATCCAACATCACGTCCTTGCTCTCTGCTCCCCCGCACTGGGGCCCCCAGATCAGAAGCTCTTGACATTCGATATCCTTGCAAGACTCATCTAATCATAGTTTGGTTGCGTCTGCTTTGGCCGCTCCCAAGTCTGGGAACCACGAGACAGTTGGTTTCATCAGCCGTGATGATCATAGCTTTGCCTCAAGAGGAATGGTGCCTGGTCATTGCTGCTGTGGTGCTTCAGCTAGGACTTTTAGCTGCCACAAAAAGCGTGGTTTTCCGTCGTCGCCCGTCCGTCTGGTCTTGATGCTGTAGCCTAGCAGGAGACTGTGCTTCGCTATGTGAGACCTTGTAATAGGCAATTCCAACCGTAGCTGAATGACGACGTTTTGAAACATGGATAGCCGTCTCGAACGATGAGGTACCACTATTCTGTGGCAGTCTCCAAGTCGATTCTCCAGGGGTTGGCGCCACCCAACGTTGCCAAGCATCACGGCACTGCTCCGAGGCGCCTATAAAGGATCCAAAGAAGAGTTTCGCAAGGGAGGAACTCGGCCACGACGTTCTAGGTCGAGCCAATCTACCTGTGAGGGTAATACGCGAAATGTCTTCTTCGTCAGCCCAGCGACGCCTCGTGGGGTCCGGAAATAAAGGCCCCCCGGGCGATATCGATGTCGGTGCCTGGTGATAGGCAGCAAGCTTCGTCGAGGGTGGACCTCGTATGATGCCAACAATGGACTTTCGAATGGCGAACTCAGTAAGCCCTTGACAGCCGGAGCCGATTGATCATTTCCACCGGATTGCGCCGATGCCTTCTGGACAGGTCTCCAAGCCGGACCATCTCCATCCAAGCTGCCGTTTACCCATGTATGAGGCGTCCGGTTCAGCCAATGCGAGGCCGTGATACTGTGCGTCACGGTAATCGTAGGGGTTGCTGCGTTACCGACTATTCATCCTTCGCATAACTTCATCCTCTGCATCCACAGGCGCCTGTTCCCCGTTGCCGACGGGCAGCCCTCTCTTGGTCAACTCCTCCTCGACCATGCTTCTCGTGAGCATCTTGCTGCCAAAGCTCGGGAACTCCTCCTTGAGCTTCTGCATCCACCCTTCGAGGCTGCGCATGGCAACCACCAGGAACCCGAGCTCTTCGCGGTCGACGTCGAAAATCTCCCACCACTCGTGCTCCGGCATCTTGGCGCCCAGATCGCGCGCCGCATTGTATATCGCTGCCGTGGCGAGCGCGTGAGGCTGGTGCGTGATGTAGAGCATCTGGGGCGACAGTAAAGCCGTGTTGAGGTATTGTATCGTCCGGAGGGAGACTGTCGTTCGTGGCTGCGATAGAAAGTCGAGCGTCTGGAGGTAGGTGATGGCCAGCGAGTGTGGAAGAGCGACGTGGGTTTCAAAGCCTAGCGAATGCAGGATACGGGCCTCCAGGCCCAGCATCCGCTGCTGGAAGGCATAGTAGTCGGCTTCGGTCTGGTAGTATGACTGCGGGTCGTCCTTGAGCAGCTCGCCTGTCGAGAAGAGGGCCGAGTTGGCAGACGAGAGGTAGGCGTAGACATTGGACACATCACGCGGCGAGCGAGGCAGCGGTCCCAGTTTCGCGACCAGGTAGAGGGCGGCAGCTGAGACATCCTGTAGTGATGATGCGCGGCAAGTATTAGCCATCTCCATTCTCCCATGTAGGTTCCATCATGTCGTATGTTCACCCACACTGAATTCATGGGCCATTGGCGACTCTGTCAGCCAGAACCGCGCCAGCAAGACGTTGGCTTGCGCCGTCACCGACTGCGGCAGCTGCAGCAGCCGACCAGCGGCCTGGGTCAGGCATTGCGTCGCAAAAAAGACGGCCTCGTCCAGCTCCCGCGGCAGCGACGACAAAGAAGCGCGGTGGTAGAGCTGCGAGGGCGTCGCGAGCGGGTTTGCGAGGAGGCTCATGGCGCGGAGCCGCTTTGCTGAAAAGCCGCGTAGAATTGCCGTGGTTCAATGATGTTTTTCTTCTTTCCGAGAGTGAGACCGCTGGAAAGATGACACGCACAAAGGAAAGGACCGAAACGAAGGGACGGACGAGGCACAGAAGGATCGGGGATTTGGAATGTCGTTGAGGCGAGAAACTTTTGGATGCGCGATGAGGTTCGGCGACCCACTGGAGCTGTCGCCGAGGGGTACCTGCGGATACATGCTCACGTGCTTCTTTCTAGCTGAACAGAATGTACTGTCTAGGTTCCGGCAGCGGTCACATATGAAATCTTGCCGATCTCCGCTGGGGATCCGGGGCGGACTTCGTATCATGTTAGAGCACCGGAGTACATACCTCTATCGAGTCTGAGGGTCAGTATTTGACTGTTTCGAATTCGAAAAGGGGTCTATATTGGCCCTGGCCTGGGGTACTATATTAGCAAAAGTTCCCCAAGACAATTGGCTGTCCGGCAAGAAGACAGCGACCAAACTACTGCCTACAAAGGTGCGGACAATATGGGTCAGCTTACACGCTTATAAAATGCTCCCTTGAGTAAGAACCTTCACGAGTCGCCCGCTTCAAATTCAACGACGAACCTGTTTCTCTACTATCGGATACGGACGACAATCAATTTTGTGATTAATTCAGACGACCAGAAGAAGAAGTTGATTTGAAGTCAAAGTCAGAAGAGCTGGCGCGGGACAGTAGCTCTCACTTACCGAGCAGTCTTACATACTCCGACGGCAAATTCTCCTTGAACCACGGCAGCTGTTGAGTAATCGAGCCGCGGTTCGTCGACTGGACTCGCAATGTGTTTCTTCATCTGGTAAAATGTTCGTGAAAGCTTTGAGGGCGTCAGATACTGCCCGTGACGAGAGCGTGTGTCACGCCAGTCTGACTTCTGGTAATCCTAAAATATTACATCCTCGATAGTTTGAGACTTTTCGGCCATTCACTTATATGCCCAAGCTCTCTGTTGAAATTTCAAGCTTCACATATTCCTGTGTGGAGCATGCCCTTGCGATATCTGAAGCCATCGGTCTGAATACAGTGATGTGCTCATCATGCGACGGCCTGACCATCCCGCCTCCGCCTCCGCTGCCCGGTTCTTACTCCTCCCGGTAGGACCCCGACCCAGCCCGCCGTTGAGTTCTTATCAACGTCCGCGATCGAGGTCAAAACCCAGTCGGCCAGTCCTCATAACTCCTAGTCACGAATGCTATAAAGTCCGAAAACTCTGAATCGGGCTCTTTGGCATGTTTAGGGCTGAGATGCCACAAGCAAGCCCTCATTGGTAGCCAACCGTCTCCAGCTCGGGTCCGAACAGACAGCCCTCTCCAATGGTGCCTAAGCACTAGAGCCTCTAGTCGCAAAGCTTCTCCCACATGTCCGTCCCTTCTCTTGGCCACCGTTATTCCCAGGTGAACTTGTCTGTTAGTCTGAGGGAAATGGCGGGCGGCTGTTCAGCCTTACGAGGCCAGAGGGACGAATTGACAGCGTTGGCTCGTCGACTTGGGGCGTGGGAGGGGGGGAAGAGATGTTGAAGAGGGGGGAGGAGATGGTTAGGTGCCCTGCATGTGGGTGGCTACAATGTAGTTGTCCCTTGCTCGGCACCTGGGTTTGCTTTCGAGCTGTCACTGCATGCTTTGGTAGCTGCAAGAATTTCCAGATTGAGTGCATGATACAGGATGAGTACAGATACATACACGGAATGCAGGGAGGCGCATAATAGCATTGGCGTAGGATTCCATGTGATTTGACGATTTGCCTGTTTGGCACGCACACTGGGCGTAGTACTGTACGAGTAGTATTCTGAGGGCATCATGATGCACCACTGCAACCGCAGATGAATATTACTGCTAGCAGTAATAACCCCGTCTATCCGCGGAACTTGGCTTCTTCAGATGACAGCTCGCAAACACTTGCCAATTGCAGTATTTGTCTTGGAAACTTGGGCATAGTAGTGTCATGCAAGCTCCTGTTCTGCTTCAACATACGAATTACCGTAAGGGGTCGATTTCACTGCAAACTAATGGCCTTAAGATGCTTCTGCATGCAGTTCATGTAGTAATTGCTACCCGTTGATATCGTCACTTAGCTCAATAATGGATGCTCGAGTCATGGCTGACCTCTCCGGGACGGAAAGGATGTCAAATCTCTCCCGAAGACCGGCTAGATCTGGGTCCCAGACAGACGGATCCGTTGCACCAAGATGTGATTAACGCAGTAAACAGAGTGCCGCACTTGTGCCCGGTTGCTGTGCTTGGAGATTATCTGGGCGGTTCTTTGCCTGGGATCTCTCTCCCTTTCCCTGGTCTCCCTTGATTGTCTCGGGTTCGTTAGCGCTGTCAACCCCATGCTCCGGGACTTGAGTCTCCGTGCACGTTACGGAGTACGTACACATGCCTTGTTGGGCTTCGAGTCCTATCACATCCCCGTGCTGGGATTGTCAGGCCGTGATCCATGACTGTACCTGTACTCTGCCCAGGACGACTCAGGAGTATTCCATGTTGCTCCAAGTTGTCTGTTCCTTGATGAGCTCGGCTACCTAAGCCACTTGAGCCGAGCAGGACAACTGGTAACCAAACGGATAATCCTCAGTGGCATGATTACTTACCTTGGACGTGATTCAAGCCACCTGAAAGCCAAATCAACCATAAAGCCGAGTAAGCTGCGGAAATAAGGACGTCCATCAATCCAGTAATTCCTTGCCCTATTGGACGTCGAGATTCAGGTCGGCGATGACAAAGAGATGACTCTGTCTCTCCTCTCCCGCTCTTTGCTGTTCGCCCCAGAGCCCGGACTGGATCAACTCGGCATGAAGCCCACTTTCTGTTCTGGCTTGTGAGTGTCCCGAGAAATCGGTCGGCTGCGCTACCTCGACTCGCTGGCATGGAGACATGGGGCGGCTTATTTGCAGGTACTTTTTGCTCTCCGCAGTGGGCTGGCGATACCTGCAGCTGTAGTACCAACCACCGTCTCGCAGGTACTCCCTCCAGACAACATCATGTAGAACACTTGTAGGCAATACATTGGCCGTAAGCACCATCGCCAGTTGAATCGAAGCATGAGATGATGAGATGTTCCCTTTCCAGTCGGTGAGGCGTACCGAGTACGCTGCAGTACTTGTAGCACACCACGGCAGGTGCCAAGACGCTTCCTGCCGTGCCTCAACCCTCCGTCTTGGCCGCCTTTTCTCCTCTTTTCTTCTCCTTGTTATTCCCTTCAACCTCATCAACTCTCGGCCAAGAACACCATCACATCCGATTTAACAGGCAGATCAAGCCACCACTACCGCCTACTGCCCGGAGCACCAGCCCGTCCCCCCTTTTACCGGCATCTCGTGGCATGACAGGGCAAAGAGGGGCCCGAGATGTGCCGTTGCCGCGGCCCAAGAGCTGCAGTACCGCATACAGGAAGCCGAGCAGCAGGGAGGTTGCATAAGGTAGAGGCTGCTCCAAACAAGCCTTAGGACGTCTTCTGCTATGCTAGGTAATCCCACTGCGACGAGCTGCAGGGGAAACCACGGCAAAGCAAACCGTTGGCGCTGTGCCACAACTGCTGCTGGAGCTAACAATCTGCTGGCTGCAGGCGTGCCTGTCCGTGTACACGTACACGCAGCCTCTGCAGGCTGATGTTCCAGTCCTCCACGGCCCTAAGCCCAGCGACAGCCGATGGGGACGAGATCAAAGACCACCCACCGGGCTAATGGCCCCAACAAGCGAGTCCATTCGACGCCCCAGGTCTTGTCTCTGGCTAGTGCCGACGGTCAAAGCCAAAGCCTCAGCGGCGCGCGACTCGATCCGTCTTATTCGCTCCATCTCTGCTATGTCCCTCCTTCCGGTGTGGAGTGGCGACGTGCCTCCGTGACGAGCCGAAGGGTAACTCGATAGGAAAATAAGGACGTCTATCCTTGCTCGTTGCAAGTTCGCAGGACTGGAAACTTGGACACTTGCAAAGTATTACTCCTGCCCTGGTTCAGTTTCCATCACCCTCCTCCCAGTTTCTCTTTCTGCTTAGTGTGGCCAGGCTCCGCATTCCGGCCCGCGGGTCACTATCTCCCTCGACAGGTTCAACTTGAGCGCGAAAGAGCGAGCAGCGGGCGACGGGTAGTGGGTTTTTGAAGCATTCGAAACCCGCTGGAGAACCCACTTGACTGCTGGATCTGCTCGTCAGCATCTAACCATCTGACGGCGCTGGTTGTTCTTCTCTGCTTCCCGCCATTCTGGTCTTGACCAAGACGTACTCTGTGCTATTACCTGGCGGCGTCTGGACTGGAACGCGAGAAGAAGCAACCGTATAACAGCTCGCTGTCTGGGGCATCTCGAGCTTTACCCGAAGCAAAAGGCCTTCTATCCAGCTCCCACCCCGGCGGGCCCTGTCTTTTCCTCCCCTTACCTTGCGTCGACCTCGTCGCACCTTGGCGCATCTCCTTTGCACTGCGTTAGTGCTCCCGTTGATTCATCATTGCTGTCTTTGAGATTGTCCATTTGCCGTTTCCCACTTTATACCAACCTGGGGTGTGGGATCTACCATTCGAAGCCGCAACGCACCTCGTATTTCCAGCCAATGCATCTATCATGGCGTCCTCAGAATCCTCTGCGCCGGCTTCTGTCATTGTCACACCCATAACGCCGCCGCAGGAGTCGGAAGCACAGCCGGCCAAGGAAAAGCGAAGGCGGGCCGGCAAGCCCAAGGTTCGGACGGGCTGTGTAACCTGGTATGTTGTGCAACCTCGCCTGCGATGCTGAGCGCCCCTCACATTGCACATCAACTCGTTGGCGACGAATATGGAAGCTTTGCGACTGACACGATGAAATAGCAAGTGAGCTTCGACCCGCATACCACCAGAGGAGACCGATGATGGATTGTTCCTGCAATCTCGGACCCCTTTTTCCTCTTCAAATACTGACTTTCTTGTTACAGAATCAGAAGGATAAAATGCGACGAGCAGAAGCCGGCATGCCAGAGATGCATCTCGACGGGCCGAACGTGCGATGGCTACAAAGCTACCACGAAGCCGAAAGCAACGAGAAAGCCGGGGTTCTCTCAGCAGCTTTCGTCCTCTTCGTCACTCCACTCATCTTCATCATCTCTTACACAGCTACGGCCCCTGGTGACCAACTTCAGCGGCGATGTGGTGGAGAGTCAGTATATTCACCAGTTTCTCCCCCTTGCAGAAGATTTGGTGGGCATCACGCACGTCCACAACTCCTTCTTCTGGGGACACGTCGTACCCGAGTACTGTTTCACGTCCAAAGCCGTGAAGCATGCCATCGTTGCCCTAAGCTCGGCCTATCACGACTTTCGGCTGGCCGGGTCCAACACAACCGTCGTTGGTCCACCCACCAACAGCGAGCGCTACATCATCCGTCAGTACAACCTGTCGCTGAATAGGATGGCCGAAGAGCTCAACGGGCTACCGATGAGAAAGCGCTATGGAATCATCATGATCTGCTGCGTTTCCTTCTTCTACATTGAGATCCTGCGGGGCAACTGGCCGACGGCCATGATGCACCTTGCCAACGGCATCCGGCTGATGTCAAACCTCCCGGACGAGGTGGAGGACGTATTTCGCCATCCGGAGATATTCAGCCACGACCACGACAATTCTCACGCCAGGGCGGTCTACATGGTGAAGCTGCTTCGCCGGTGGGAAGGGTCGGCAGCATTCATGAGGACCAACTCGCCGCCGTCCTTGTCCCTCCAGGCCTACGAAACGAGAAAAAGCAACGCCGCAGGGCCCAAAGAGTTTACATCGCTGGAGAAGCTGCAAGAGGCGGTCGACGACCTCTTCCAAGATATCAATGCGTTTAGCTGGATGTGCAGACAGTACAGTGGCGACGACAGTGCTTGGGATCATGCGGCTGCTCGGTTCCAGGTTGACGTGCTGCACCAACGGTGCTACCACATCCGAGAGCTGCTGAACAAGGCAAACAGCGTCTACGGAGACATGGAGCGGGCACCTGCTCCGCGTGACTTTTTGAAGTACATGGGCTGTCTACTTCGGCACCGCGCCGCGTCGATTGCGCTCGATGCCATGCCTCTGCCCCAGGGCATGGCGTACACGCCTCCCGACGAGGACGAGAACAAGTTCAAGGAAGTGGCCTCGATTGCAGAGGCGATCAAGCAAGCTCTTCGGGCAACGCTGGCGGGAGGGTCGCCGTGGTTCAATGTGGACTTTGGGGTCATCACCACGCTCTACATCGCAGCGACAAACTGCTACACGCGTTCGATGAGCGAGAAGCTGTTTGATATGATGAAGAGCTGGCCGTGGCGAGAGGACTTGTGGGACGGGCCACAGCTGAGACAGCAGCTGTATGATCTGAGGAAGCCGGTTGTCGAGGTGCCAGTTGCGACGACGCCCGATCCGGAGACGCCCGTCCCTACAACGCCTCATCTGATGAAGCTCGCGCATCGGCCGCCGACCAAAGGAACGGCAGAACTGACAGACTCTGACGACTGACGTCTTCTATCCCTTGTGTTTTTCATTCTGGCGTCCAACTATATACCCCTCCTTCTTGATGATCACTGGAATGGGGCCCTTCTGCTGAGAAGACGGCCTCACGGCGCAACTGGCGAACAACTTGATGAGTCGAATTGGTTCCTCATTGCGCAAAGAGTCTGGTTCTGCAAGCTTTTAGACACGGGCAGCCACCTTTGGAGCCTTTTCTCTCTGTCCTTCGCATTTACAGGGTTTGGAGTTTGGCGGATTATCGGGATGGATAGGGACCATGTCGGCTTATTGGGTTCGGGAGTAACACGCGGGATTCTCTTCTACTGGATAATACACGTCTCTTTGGGCTATGGGGATCAACTGGCTTGGATTTCAATCCCACGTTCGTTGTCCTCTTTAAAAATGGGTTATGAGGGGGCAAGCAAAAGAATCGCCCTCTGATCTGGAGTCTCCATTCAATACACATATCGCTCCATCCTTCAAACGTGCCGTGTGTTCCCAAGCGAATGCAAGTTGCAAAAAGGAAATGTTGGCAAAAAAAGGTTCCAGAGGGAGTCGAACCCTCGCTGGCGGAATCAGAATCCGCAGTCATAACCGTTAGACCATGGAACCGGTTGAAGTGGTGATCCACTTCCCATGGTGAGGGATGTTGAGACGGGGTTCGGAAAGGACATTTTGAAGCTTTCCGTGTATTTTCGCTTCTTTCTCTTGTTCTGTGGCTGGAGCTGGAGCAGCAGCCGCAGTTGTTACGCCACAGCTGTAGTCCGTTTGAGTACGTACTTGTACCCTGCTGGTTGAGCCCCGCCAAAGTTGGAGCTTTGGCTTGAGGGTTCAAGTTTAGCTCAGCTCATGCTCTTGCTGTTTCTGGATTCATTCACTTCACATGTACATAACTCGGACTTGATCTCACATCGACTTTGCTATTCTGACAGTCTGAAGAGTTGACATTGAACACGACGGCAAATGATGACTCAATTCCTTGATGACAATTGAGATCCATCAAACTTGTTCCCGCGCAACAATTCATAGAGAGAACGATCAATTCCCCTCGAAACACCCCGCAGCTTTCACCACATTCCTCAACGCCAACCTCATATCATCAGAAGAGAAGAGCGCAAGGGGAATAGAAACCGAGAAACACACACACACACTCACACGCGCGCGCCAAGAAAGAGACAGAGACAGAGACAGAGACACACACACAATGAGCTCGCTCCCGCAGTCGCCGACCGACGACGAAAACAGGTCGTTCGACCTCAACCTGCAGCACGGCCACCGCGACCTGGTGCAGGCCATTGCCTTCAACGCCTACGGCGACCGCTGCGCGACGGGGTCCGTGGACGGCAAGATCCGGGTGTTTAACCGGCATCGCGACGGGACGTGGAGGCTGTGCGATACGTGGAGCGCGCACGGGGGGGAGGTCGTCGAGGTGTGTTTTGCTTTCTATCCATCGAGATCTCTTACCTACCCGCCTATATATACACCCTACATCGTCTGTTTCCACGGCTAACTCGCCCTTTGGCGTATAAAAGTTGCAATGGCTCCCGTCCACAATCTACCCCAACCTCATCGCCTCCCTCGGCATCGAAGGCTGGTTCCGCCTCTGGGCCGAGAACCCGTCCGCGGCGCCCGGCCGCCGCTTCTGCGCCGCGCGCTCCGTCAACGGCCGGCCGGCCTTTGACACGCGCTCCGCCCGCGCCCCCTACCGGTCCTTCTCCATGAAGCACAACGAGGAGACGCGGCAGACGTACCTGGCGCTGCTGGCCACGGACGGGCGGCTGACGGTGTACGAAAACGACCAGCCCGAGAACCTGGCCGAGTACGCGTCCATTGACGAGTTCAGCGTGTGCGCGCGCCCGAGCCGCGGCGACGAGGTCGCCTTCAAGGTGCGCTTCGACCCGAACCCGGAGCCGTGCTACGCCGCGCTGCGGGCGGGCGTGCCGGCCGACGCGCTGGGGCTCGTCGTCGCCGCCATGGGCTCCGTCAAGGTGTACCGCACGCGGGAGGTGGCGGCGAGCAACTTTGGCGCAAACACCCTGCAGAAGGAGTTTTACCTCGCGGCCGACATCTCCGGGCACAGAGGCTTGGTGAGGGACGTGGCGTGGGCGCCGGGGAACATTAGGGGGTATGACATGATCGCTACGGCGTGCCAGGACGGGTACGCGCGCGTGTTCCGGATCGATACGCCTTTTTCGGAGAGCGATGGGCGGTCTTGGTCTGCGACGCACTTGCTGAACCGGTCGCAGCAGCAGCAGCAGCAGCATAAGGACGCAGCAGCAGCAGGAGGAGGAGGATCGAAAGACGACGACACAGCAGCGGCAGGCTCAACAAACAACACCAACACCAACACCAACAACAGCAACAACAACAGCAGCAGTAGCAATCCCTACAGCAGCAGCGGCCATCACCACACGCACCACCCCTCGTCGACCCTAAGCGCAAGCCTCGCCAAGTCGAGCAGCCTCGCCGAGCAGCGCGCGTGGACGGGCCAGCCGGGCCAGATCCGGCACACGGCGCAGGAGATGTCGCGGCTGGACAGCCACCGCACGCCCGTGTGGCGCGTGGGCTTTGACGACGACGGGCAGATCCTGGGCAGCACGGGGGACGACGGGAGGTTGTTGTGCTATCGGCAGACGCCGGACGGGAGGTGGGCCAAGAGCTCGGAGTTGGTCATGATGAAGACGAGGATGGCGGCGCCTTAGGGATGTATGAAACGAACTGGACTTGGGGGTGGGGGATGGGAGTTTGGAAGTTTCTTTCTTTCTTTCTTTCTTTCTTTCTTTCTTTCTTTCTTTTTTTTTCTTTTTGTCTTTGAGATGGTTATGGAGTATATGGATTATTGGAGGACATGTCTTGACGAGCAAGGCGAATAGGACGCAAATGTTGTTCTTGACATGTACATATCGCATTAATCAGTGTTTCTTTACACACGTCTCTCTATTTCATTTGAGGTTACTTCCTTCTCAAGTTACCTAGGGCAAACAGCTACCAGTATCATTGTGATGCCAAGTCAAAGCGAAGAGTACGCATGGTTGAAAGTTGGATATATATATGTATATGTATATATGCATTGAGTGCGTTGCTCTTCTTCCAACTAACGAAAAAAGAGTGCGGAATGATGGATGCTCTAGTCTTCTTCATTCGTACTGCTTGTGATAAAGGAAAGTAAAAAAAAGAAACAAGTAGTGAAAAAAAACGCCCCTTTTGATCCAGCCTCTCCAATCCAGCAAGGCCCCCTTTGAAAAAAAGAATTCCCCTCGAAAAGCCAAATCATGATTTTTCTTTGTCTGTTGCGCATGGTAAGAAAAAGAGTGCGAATAAGGCTGGGAAGATGCCCATCAAGGGTACCTAATTGGCTTGCCAATGATGGGTAACCCCCCACACAACCCTTTAACTTTTCTCCTCTTCACATGCTATTTTTCCCATCTTTTTTCCAACGTCCATACAAAACGACGACGGAACAACTCACGCGGCATCGGCGCTGGCAACGGGCTGGGCAACCTTGGTCACCTGGGATCCGGCGCGGACGATGCGCTGGCCGGCAGAGTCGTTGATGTACGTCACGTCCTTGTTCTCGAACTGGGCGCGCTTCCAGATCTCGACCTCGCAGCCGCCGCGCAGGACGCCGACGCGCATCGTGGACAGCAGGTTGTGGGCGGCGTTGGAGTGGTTGTAGACGCCGCCGTTGAAGATGGCCGTGGCGTCCTTGCCGATGGCGGAGGAGATGAGGGCCTTGCCGCCGGGGTGGTCGCGGATGAAGTCGCCGACGTCGTGGATGACGCCGGCGATGGCGACGAGGGCCTTTCCGTTCTTGGAGTCGGCGACGAAGTCGTCCCAGTCGACGACGGGCAGCTGCTCGAGCGGGGTGCCCCAGTCGAGGGTGGCGCGCTTCTGGTCGAGCTTCTTCTGCAGCTGCTGTACGCGGCCCTTTTCAATCTCGTTGGCGCGGAACTGCTTGAGGTCGTAGGCCAGGCCGGTGAGCTTCCAGAGGCAAATCATCCACTTGGTCGGGTCGTACTGCCACCACTCAATGGCGTTGCGGTAGTCCGAGGGGAACTCGTGGTGGAAGTTGTGGTAGCCCTCGCCGAGGGTGACGAGCGCGGTGATGACGTGGTCGCGGGGTGAGTTGCGGTCGTCAAAGGGCTGGTCGCCGAGCCAGTGGGCGAGCGAGTTGACGCAGAAGGTGGCCTGCTGGACGAAGCAGATGCGCAGGATGCCGGCGTAGACGAAGCCGCCCAGCCAGTCGTCGAAGAGGAGGCCGCAGAAGACGGTGGGGAAGACGAGGCCCATGAAGATGACGCACTTGAGGTAGTGGCGGTGCTGCCAGACGACGATGGCGTCCTCGTTGAGGTCGCTGATGTCGCAGCGGCCGATGCGCTTGGGGTTCTGCTTCATCACCATCCAGCCCATGTGCGAGTACAGCAGACCCTTGCGGACCGAGTAGGGGTCCTTGTCGGTGTCGGTGTATCGGTGGTGCGAGCGGTGGGCCCTCGACCACCAGCGGATGGAGCCCTCGACGGCGCCCGCTCCCACGGCGGCGAGGTAGATTCTCAGGGGAAGCGTGGCCTTGTAGGAGGAGTGAGCCCAGAGACGGTGGTAGCCTGGTTGTCATGTGAGTATGTCTGCTTCACCATCCATCAGGTGTCTGTCCCGAAGTCGAAACTTACCAGCCGTGATGCCCAGGCCCGTGTTAAAGTAGTAGATGACGGAGAAGATGGCCGTGGCCAGCTTGAGGGGGACCCAGTAGGCGGAGACGAAGCCCATGAGGGGGATGAAGACGATGAAGGTGGTGTTGAGCCAGTTGACGTGCTTGTACCAGTTGCCCCAGGTAATGGGCGTGTCGGCGATGTGCACCTTCTTGGGGTCGTACTTGGAGCCGGACCGCAGAGGCACGTAGTCGGTTGTGCCGTCTGGGAAGGCCGCGGCCTGGGCCTTTGCGGCCGAGGCTGAAGGGTCCGACATGGTTTGGCGATGTGGTTGTGCTTCTTCTTCTTTGTCTCTGTCGAAGAGAAGGAAAGGAGGAGGAGGAGGGCTGGAGGGACGAGGAGAGAGAAGGGACAAGAAGAGGATCGAGAAGGAGGAGGGTGTTTTCTAATAAAGAGAGTTCCCGGAGGCAAGGGAGGACCAGGGAACGAACGGCTATCAAAGCGGAGGGGCGTGGAGTGGAGGGCGTGAAGCGAAGGGCGTGCGAAACGAACGAGGAAGAGAAGACGAGACGGTGCCTTGTTGTGTGGATTCTCTGCAGCAAGCAGTGGACGAAGATGGAGGAGAGGGGCGTGCGAATCAAATCAAGCGCAAGCGATGGTCCTGGCTAGTATCAGATTCCGCCAGGTGGAGGGGCCCGGATCAGCCCAGATCAGAACAATCGAGGCCTGAAAATCCCGAATCCTGTCGAAGAGGCTCAAGCTCAAAAGAAGAGGCGAGGGCTAAGGCATAAGCAGAAGGGATCAGTTACCGAAGAGGCAACAATGAAGGGATTCCCGAACGACGAAGAAATTGTCTTCTTCTTCTTTTTGCCGCTTTGGTGGAGAAATCGGAATGGGGGAGAGAGAACAAGAACGAGGAGAATCAAATCGCAGGGCAAACGGCGTTTCGAGGTGAATGTTTGTGTCCATCTCTGTACGTACCCGGATGGCGAACGGTACCTGGCAACTCCACGGCGCGTGGCGGACAGAAGGAAGTTGCTCAGCTTGCGAGGGTACCTCCTCCGCACTGCCGCGAATTTTGTTGGATCTTGGGGGGTGTTGGGAGGCAAAACGTGTACTACGAGTAACCGGTACGCAGCTTCCGGGGTCAGGCTCGGTGTGCTGGGGCCTGGGACGACAGGTTACAGGTACCGGTTGCGTTTTCCTTCAGGTACTGCTCGTGTGTAAGTCGTGCATTGCGGAACTGCGTGCAGCGATTGCAGAGAGACGTCTGTTTTGAAACAGTTGGGGGAGGCTGCATCAGCCCATCATCTCGCTTGACGCTCAACAGTTGGTATCGAGCAAGAACTGTCTGCGTTCTTGTCTTGATGGAATCAGCAGATGCAGAGCTGTCTCTGGCCTGATATTGCCAGCGCTTTTCACTATACTTGATAGCATCAACAGCAGAGGCGACCTTGAGCAGATGATAATGCAGGTCAAAGTTCAAAGTCCGTCTTTCCTCCCCACACGCCCCCCCCCCCACCTTGAAAAGACGCCACCCCTCCCCAGAGAGGCAAAATCGACCAATCAGACGCCGGCGGTAGAGAGCGCCACTCAACCTTTTTCTCGCAAGGCTTCTTTTCCCCAACAACTTTTTTGCTTCTGGGGCGTTGCTGCTTTTGGCTAGGCTGGGATTTTCTTCGGGGACTGACTGACGAAGGGGAAGTTGATGTTTTGTTTTGCCCGTTCAATTTGTTTAGAAACGGAGCAGCGGGTGAAGATTCGTGTCCGGTCCGTTTGGTACTTTGAATGATTCTCGATGTGAGCCATGTTTTATATGTGAATTGGCTGAGTTTGGGCCCTGAATCTGTGCGATGCTGGTGCTGATGGTTGCTGGAGCTGCCAGTGCATGGCGATGGCTTACACCATCATCAAACAACTTACAAGATACAGACCACGGGCTGTATATGTCACTCGTTCTGTAGATGCATCCAAAGCCGGGCATCACTCACCATGCAAGATACGAATCACTTCAAACAACACACACATATACATAGCAGTAAACCGACATCCGCATCGCCAAAGCTCCATCTCCCTCTATCTAGTCGCATCCGCCATCTCATCTCATGTCCACTTGCACCCCCAGCTCGTCCTCCGTAACACAGCCGTCCAGTCAATAGTCCATCAATTACGCAGCAGATAGCCTATCTGTCTGCATCATCATCATCATCATCACATTCACCTCGATTCAAACCTCCAAACCTCGGCTCGATACCCTGAAAAATCACATCCCCCAAAATCTGCAAAAAACACATCATCCAATGCCCATGCCCATACCATACCATACCATTCAATGCCAAAATACGTACGTAAACCCCCGTCATCCCCAACAGAAAAAAAAAACTGACTGCCCGCCCACCCGCTTCTGGCCGGCTCCATATCCCGGACCGCCCCAGTTTTATAAAAAATCCACATACGGCAAGCAAGAACAACATGCATTGAGAATGGAAGCTTCAGGCAGGGTACGTATCGTATCTTTTCAGCGAATTCCTCCTTCTAGCCGAAAGCCACACGAATTCCATCGGACCCAATCACGTCGACGCGATTGTGCATCTTTGGGAGATCTGAAAGCCACACCCACAAGCCACTTTTGTGATTATGAACCACACGTCTCAGACCACCTCATTCCATTGTGTTATCTTTCTTGTTTTTTTTTCTTTCATGTGCTTCTGATGTCAAGGGCTAGTAATCTCGTGCGTTTTCCTACGGGAGCGGACGGAAAGGCAAAAAGTGCCATGCTATCACCATGAGAAGAGAGCATGCGATGGAAATGTGCTCGTGGCTTGGAAAGGCGTGCTTGGGCTTGCATAGAGCAGGTTTTCGTGACGGTTTTCTGCCCTTTTTGGGTAATTGAGCTTGATAGCAAGCTCTGGAAGCTCTGAAGCTTTATTGCGATATTCCCACGTATGTCAAGCTCACGTCAGGCTACATGATCTTCACATGTGAAGAAGAATGGTTTGCTCTTTGCTTACACAGTGGATTTTACTTCACTCCGTACCTGAATATCATGTTTAAAAAATAATCGAGTAACCTCAGGCAATAGTAGTCTAAGGTAATGCTACCCTGTTCAGTTATGATGCACAGTGTCATAGATAGAGAAGCCTATCTAATATCAGCGAAACTCGAGCATATCATCTCAATATGCTCAGTCAAGATAGCACACTTTTACAAATCTTCAAGCTCAAATTACCAGAGAGGAGACACCTCTGTCCAGCCGACACACTCCCTTATAGACAAGGTACACTACCCAGTTTCGCTCTACTTACAACAAGGTACAGACAGAGTCAAATCCATACCACAGCTTTAGTACACAGTCCGCCACATCATAATCAGTAAAATTGAACACTTCAAACTCGATTCAGCCGTCCATTCATTCTCAAGGCCATTACCTCCGTATGGTATTTGCGAGACTGTACATTTTTTGTCTTGAGGTACAATGGTGTCGAACTACATCTCCTTGTCTACCTCAGCCCAAACGAACGATATATAGATACCAAGTTGAAGCGAGACAACCAGTGAGATTGGAAATGTTGTCTTCGTGGTACTTGCTAGAAACTCGATTGTTCAACCGCTCGCTAATGCAATGCATGCTCAGTATCTGCTCTCCGAAATCAACCACAAGTCATGTCTCATAAGCCGGCAATGCCCAGGCAAGCCATTCCAAAAAGTAGATGGCAGTCATAGATCCCATATCCAGAGGTGTCAAAAAGCGCCAGGTCAGTTGCCCGCGACCACATCTACCTTGCTATACATGAAATATCCAATGGTACCCCTAAGCAGTAAATATCAAGAGTAACTAAACAATAAAGGCCCCAATGGCTATCAAACTCGCTCTGTCTGTCTGTCTCATGTCTGAGCATCTGTCGTAATCAGAGGCGTCGCCTCGGGTCGTGTCATTAACTGGAATTCGTCATCCATCAGCCCCTTCTCCGGCAGCAGCTCGCCCTGCAGCCCCAGATGCGCCGCTCCAATCCCCGTCAGCGAGACGGGCATCGTCCCGTGCCGCGGATACATGAAGTCTCCTGCCTCTTCTGCCTGGCCCTGGACATTCTCCTGGGCCCACTGCTCCCTCGTCGCACCTCCGTTGAGCAGCTGTCCGGCTCTCTGCGCAGCGCTGGCGTTGTAGCTTTGCCGAGGGTCCCCCGACTTGAAGCCCGGTGACCGCGAGGCAATGTAGTCGGGCTCCGACCCCGTTTCCGGCGTCGTGACTCGTGCCTCGTCGACGGGCCTCGAGGCCTCTGCTGTAATTGGCGTGTTGGGCACCGTCTGATGCGGCGTTGCGTGGGAGGAAGAGGACCGGTAGCCGTCTTCGGCTCTCGGGACCTTGCGCAGCCGCTTCACCTTGATGTTGGCCGTGTTCTTCGATAGCTTTAACCTCGGACTCGACCTTGTCCTGACAGGGAGATCAGGGCTATTCGCCGGTCGAGCATCAGATCGCATCTCAAAGGCCGAGTCTTGCCTCCGGGAACCGTCCTCGCTGCCATCATTCTTTCCCCAATACCCGTCTTGCTGCATCTCAGGGGTTCTGATTTGGGGCAAGGCGTCGGGAGTCTCCGTCACGACGACGGCGGGAACAGTCTTTTCCGCTGCGTTGCTCGATTCCAGTATGGTGTCCTCCTCTGCCTCCTTGCTCTCTAATATGGTGTCCTCCTCGGCCGTATAATTGCTTGCCGATCCTCCCCAGCTTGACTCGGGCGCCCCGGGGGCCAATCCCCTGACACCCTGGTCATCCACTGCGGTAAAGTAGTCGGTGCTCTCTTGGTCAAAAGACTTGAGCTGCGCGAGAGGCCGTTGACGTCGGTCGCTAATGTTCAGGAACCTCTCCGCAGACGGGGTTGGGGTTGGCTGTCGGTGCACGCCATATTCATCTTCCGGCAGCACATAGCTCTCGCCGCTGTCGCTGTAAGACGGTGCAATGAACCTGTTCGCTGCCCAGCCCGACTTGTTCGCTGCATCGCCCTCCGTGTCGCTGGGCAGCGCACTCGGTGGTGACCGGCCTCGTGCAGAGTAGTTCTGGTCGTAGGGGAGGAGCCCACTGTCGGCATATGCCGAGCCCGAGTAGGTCCATTCGCGGTCGGCCGCTCTCGTTGCGTGGTGATCGATATCGTAGCCGTCCGAGGAATACTCACGCGTCATGGCAACGTTATCCATGCGGACCGGCTCCTGGTCAGAGTGCAAGGCATCGCTGTGCTCGTCGCCCGGGATGACGCGGGGGAACATTCGCAGCAGCGACGCCGCCTGTAACCTCATTCGCGGGTCGTCGCTGAGGCAAATCTCCGTCATCTGTCGATACCAGTCGGGCACGTTAATCTCCGGCCCCAGCATCAGCGGCCGCCCCTGGGTCTCGGGCTCGTCCTCGAGCATGGCAAGCCCCCAGAGCACCATGCCGAGCTGGTACAGGTCCGACTTGACGCCAATGTACATGGACAGCCGCTGGTTGGACTCGATCAGGGCCGTCGCCTCGGGAGGCTCCCAGCCCACGGGGCAGCCGCGGCGGTTGATGTCGATGATCTTGGCATCGCCGTTGTCGTCAATGACAATGTTGGACAGCGTAAAGTCGCCCTGGACAAAGCCCGATTCGTGCACGTCCGCCAGCCCCTGCACAATCTGCCTTGCCCACCTCTCCCTCGTTTCCCAGGGGAGGCCAATGTTGTTTTCCTTGCAGTTCTCAAAGATGATGTCGATCAGGGCGCCTTGGCCGGCAAAGCTGATGAGCAGGCCCTTGACATGCTCGTCATTGTCGTCGACGACGACGCCGTAAAAGTCAATGACGTGCCTCGAGAATTTCAGGCCGTTGAGGGCGTTCACTTCGTAAAGAAACTCCTCGACGGTGTCGGGACTGGGAATCTCCTTCTTGATGAGCATGTGGCCCTGCACGCTGACCTTGTAGACAAAGCCGGACATGTGGGAGTCGAAGACAATGTCTCGCTCCTTGACTCGCTTGCAGCCTAGATGCCGAACCTGGCTGACGGTTGGATAGTGGATGATTTCCTTGTCCTGTTAGTCTGTGTGACATGCTGCTGCAATGTGCTTCGGCCGGCTACTTACATTGCCATCTTCCACCACGTGGACATGCAGCCTCCCGTCGGTCGTCTCGAGCTTGAGGTTGGTCACGGTGTCGTAGAACTGTATGTCGGGCAGGCTCTCGCGGATGGCCTCGTAAATCTTGGCGCTCTTGTCCCGCTGGTACTTTGTGTGGTTGAGATCCCACTCGAGCGAGTTCTCGGGCGCGTCGCGGTAGTCGAGCGAGACGGTGACGCGGCGCCACATGTGCTCCTGCTCGCGGTACGTGACGAAGAACTTTTCCCGCTTCGACCGGTCCCTAAAGTGCATGCTGAGGTTGAGGATCCACTCCCTCTCCAGCTCGTCGTGAATCATGGCTTCATACTGGGACGCCGTCACGGACCGGGAGTCGGCCACGGACACGGCGTCCTGAGCGGTGTACTCGTCGTCGGCCTCATTGCCGTCCATGTCCGTTGTGATGGCGTGCGGCAGGTCTGAATACGTTGAGCCCGCGGCTTCGATATCCGCGAGGTCGGCGAGGTCTACCGGCAGCGACTGCGCGTAGTTTGAGCCCGTCTCGTGCAGCGTCTCCCCATAGAAGCTGGGGGCGCTCGATCGGGGATCGGGATGCGCTCGCAGGCTGCGGCGGCCCGCCTTTTGCGGATAGTGACATCGTCTGTCGACAGACGCGGCACGGCGGCCGACGGCTCGACGGGGGCCAGGTGCTCCCTGCTTTCGGACAGCTGGCGCTTGAACGTCTGGGACCGAGGCAGGCCGGGCACGACCCTCCGAGACAGGCGCTTGACGATGCCGGAGCCGGGTGCTGCAGGCGCTTGTGGTGATGCAGGTGCTGGCTGCTGGCTGGCGGAGACGGACGATGCGGACGACTTGGAGCTCCTGGAGCTGTCGGAACGGGTCAACAGCTTGCGCAGGAAGCTCTGCTTTGCGGGTTGCGAAGACTGCGGAAGCGTCTGGAGGTGCGGCTGCAGGAGAGGCGGCGAGGTGCAGGGCCGGCCATCGAGCGGAGGCATGGTTTGGCGATGCTGGGCAACCCAAGCTGCCGCCGTTTCAGATTGATGTGCTCGTCGATGTGCGCTACGGAGCTGCGCAGCGCCGGGTACCTGCTATCAGGGTGTGAGGGTGTAGCGAATCCGCAGCTACCCGAGACGAACAAGGACGAGGGTCGCGCAGAAATGGTATATATAAGCAGGCCGTTGTTCTCCTTTCCCTTTCAGCCAGTGAGAAGCGAGAGAATTGTGTCTGGGTATCGTGATGGCAGCCAGTCGTGAGGCTGAGAGGTAAAGAGGGGTGCTGGAGCCGGTAGGGTGTTGACGGACAGCAGCAAGATGGCAGCTCGAGGATATAAATAGACGCTTGCCTGGATTGATGGTGATGCACTGATCGGTTCACCAAGCGAGCCAGATACCGAGTCTCCCTGGAACAAGACACACCGGTTGTCGATTGCCGTCTGAGTCAAAGCAAAGACCACCAGCAATCTGTATTCCGGACGCTGGCCGCAGGCTGAAGCCGAGGGATGGAGTCCAAGAGATGAAGAAGCCGAGCAGGCAGAAACGACAGGCGATGGAAGCTCCTGAGTGGTTGATGTCGGTCCAGTAGGAAGCGTCTGTCTGGTGGTAGCAGCGGCAGTAGCAGCAGCAAACGTTGAGGCGTGCGTGCAGGTAAATGGCGAGGCGAGGCGAGGCGGGATGGAGGTGGTTGGATGGATAGAAGGATGGAGATGTTCCGGTCCTGCTTGGTTCGTGGAGAGAAGCCCGCTTGGGGGAGCGGCGAGGCAAAATGGGGGGGGGCGGAAGAAGCACAAATAGTGGAAGCTGTCGGCTGGGGAAAATATGACGGGCTGGCGGGGGTGGGAGAGGGAAAAAAGGAGGCAAAAGTGACAGACAGACAGAGGCTCGGACAGAGACTGGACAGAGCTTCTGCAGCAAGGGCAGCAAGCAGGCAGGCAGGCAGGCAGGCAGAGGAGGAGGTGGAGCGGGAAGAGAGGCTGGAGTTGACGATCAGCCTTTTTGTCTGGTATGATTGCTATGATCTGGCTCGCTGTCGCTGGTGTTGCTGGGCCGGAACTGGACCAGGACCAGGCCCAGCCAAATCAAAATCGTTCCGAGGACGCAGGCCCGCCGTCAGTTGTGCACATGTCATGTACGGGCAGGGATGGGTAGGGATGCGGCAAGGGTGCGGCAAGCATGGATGTACAAACAGGGCAAGGTTCCTCTTTCTGGGGTCGTGACCGGGTGGAAGAGAAGATTGAGTGCTGTGCTGTGCTTCGTGCAGATGCAGCACAGAGACAGAGACAGAGACAGAGACTGCCTGGGATTCGTGCGATGGCCGGGCTCCGCCAGCCGGTGAGAGTTGCGAAGCGAGCGAGCAGAGACTGGATGGATTCCCCAGCCGTGCCAGGCGAGGCAGTGCAGCGGCATGTAATGATAATAAGCAAGTCATCAATTGTTGATGAGGTTCATTTCGAGGCCTGGGGCAGCTGAAGCGGCAGCTGATATCATGGGGTCCAGTTCCAGTTGATCCCCTCAATCCCAAGGTCCCCTACCAGCACTACCAGCACCACCAGCACCACCAGCAAGCCACAGCCGGGCCCAAGCAGCCCAATGGACCGCGAAGCTTGAGCGCCGCAGCGGTCCAGCGACGGCGGATGGCGGCCACTAACAGCGGAGGCTTGCCGCTAGAACCACCACTAACTCGAACCTCCACCTGTGCTACCAGCAATCGGGGGGGGCCTAATCAGGCAAGGCAGGGGATGATGGACCGTTTCTTCTGGCCGTCTGTCAACTCGTGTCCAAGGGACCAGCACTAAATCACTTTAGATTGGGCTCGTTGGACCCCTCCTTTTTCTATTTCTATTTCTATCATGCTGGAGATGATATTGGGAGAACATTCGTATTACCTGGTAGGTACTTGTATGCGCTGATTGATTGACTGCCCAGATGATTGATTGATTGACAAGATTGACGCTCTTCTCTCAGTGGACCCAAAAGTCCCCGGAAATGGACAGCTGATGACACCCTGCTGGTAGCAGTGACTTGCCATCCCGGGCTTCAAGGTTGTGCTCCAATGACCTGCACGATGCTTGATGGCACCGAAACGGGCAACCAGGGGGTGGCATGACGAGGGGCACAGCGCTGTCACAGCGGGGCGCTTCTATTGCTGAGTATTCAATATTAGTTATTGAATGTATATGGGCGCTTCTGAGGCTCTTGATACCACAGAGTTATATACCCCAAGCCACAGTACGCAGACAAACCGAGGTATCGTCTACACATGAGAGGCAACGGTCAAGGTACCAGAGTATTACCGTCTCCTCACATCTCCACCAATTCCAACCTCTCATTCTCAGACCTGCATCTTCCACTGGCCAGAAAAGAGAAAGCAAAACAACATGATTCAACAGGACAGAAAAAGCGGCAAATAATGGCCAATCCCCGGTTGCCCCATCGACCGTCTGCACGCCCGTGACCGCCAATTCGACGACACCGGGCCCAGCCTCCGCTCTCGCTTGTCCCTTTTCGGGAGGCCCTGTGGAAGAAGAGAAGCCCTACAGGCGGAGAGAGAGACGAAAGCACCACGAGAATCGGAACGACAAGAGAAGAGTCGGTTCTATTGCCGTGGCAACTGCGTAGGTACTCGTATGGATTGCGCATGTCGCTACGGGTATTATGCATGCGATTGTATGTTTTGCCTGACTGGCAGTGGACACTCTGTCCATCCAGCCGGGCCACCCCCTGTGTATGTACGAGGTACAATCGAGACCTGAAGGCATCATCATCATCATCATCATGGTCAAGGTGAGCTGGCAGTTCGGCAAACAGGGCCAATCTAGCCCTGGAAATACTTAGTTCCTGAACAACGCAGCAGTGCCAGCTTATTAGCATGTATGTAGTATCCTTCCTTTGCCCGTTTCGTGGCATCAAATCCTGCTGTCTGGTATCACCAACCAAGTGTTGTGGTGGGATTGGGCACCGAACTGCTTCGTCCTCGCGTTAGCCTCCACACCAAGAACCACCTCACATCATCATCATCATCGCTCACTTTTACTCCTACATACTCGTACAGCAAACGGGCCTGGATCGGACCATGCCGTATCGTACATGCGGGCTCACATGGAACACACGCTCAATCAATCGAATCAATGCTGGACTCGCTCACACACATCCCATCTGCCAGGGCTGCTGCGTCCTTCTTTACTCGCATACAAAGTCCCTTACATGACGAGGCACATACTAATAGCCCGAGTAACGTCGACGTTCGATGCGCTCGCTCGTTCGTATATCTGGCCGTTCCTATCACAAATCAACTCCTTTGTCAAGCCTGCCTGTTGATGGACTTTGGCCCCATGCTTTTCGACCCGGCATCTACTGATCCCTAATCCTGACCCCGTCTTGACTCGGGCATTCCGACAGCTCACGAGCGCTCTACTAGTACCGGCCACGCGGTTTAGGCCTTGCTCGCCCACTCTCTCCCTGGCTGAACCCGCTCTTCTTCAGTAGATGTGTCGGGTCAGATGGATGCTCACCTTGAAAGCAATGAGCCGTTGTAGGACGGGCATTTACATTGCCAGTCAATCGAGCCCGACCCGACATGAACACACCACAGCTTCACCCGCAAGTCGGATTTCATTTGGAGTCAAAAGTCGAAGAAGAAGCAAAGATAGAAAACGCAACCTCGGCGGTAGGGACTGACCAGGTCCGAGCCACGAAATCACCAAAGACAAGGAATACGAAAGGACAGCTAGAAATTCCCCCCCTTTTTCGAGAATCGTCACTGACACATCCCTATTTCGCAGAATAGCACGTTCCGGAACGCTTCCGCAGAACGCACTTGTCAGCCTTTCCCCCCAGCCCTCCGGGATCTGTTCCGAGATGATGCACATCCATGGTCTGCCATGATACTTGTCCATCGTTACTCGCAACCAGCCTCTTATTTTTTGATGCTGCCAGTGCTCCCTTGTCTTCTCTGGATACACTCAACTGTTGATTCCAATTCCCCAGAATCAGAATTGCCGACATACCTAGCAGTCATAGACTAGTAGACATCACCCGAAACCCAAGAAAAAGAAAAAAAAAAAAGAGAAAAAAAAAAAGGAACGCATCACTTCTCAAGAAACCCAGATATGAGTGCAACCAACACAAAAAGCCGTCTTGTTCCTTAGCGTTGGGATTCAGGCACAACTGCATTCCATCACCCCCGCTGATCACCCCCGAACAACTGAAGCCTCACTGCTTGCTACATGTACCTACACACGTCCGTCTCAAGTGCCTCGCATCACCCTACTTTACGATAATGCTACTAGTTCGTGACCTCTGGTCTATGAAGCACTAATCGTGTAGCTGTATGTAAGGCAAATTCGGGCATGAACTGCAACGCTTTATTGGGCAGAACAGTAGATTGTAGGCTGCATCTACGCCCGTCTGTCTTATCGGATCGAATCCAATCGAACTCGCAGCCCGAAAAGCCGCTTGATGCTTGATGCCGAACGGTGAGTACCTTGCATCTGAATGCATCGGATCGGACTGTTTGCACCTTGACCTACAAGCAAGGCAAACAAACGTTGGAGGCAAGCAGGTAGAAGCCCAACACGAGCCATCAAACGGTGCAGTTTGTGCGAACCAGAGTGAGACTGACGATCGTTCTCCCACCCAATCAATCCCAGTCATCCTCTCAGGCACCACCACCTCCACCATCATCATCATCATCATCATCATCATTCATTTGTCCATTCGTTTGCTCATTCATCAAGAAGTTGACGCGTCGCTTGCTGTTGACCCATGTATTTGCCCACGAATAAGTCGGGTTGGGTTCGGTATGCATTAGATACATGTCGTCAACTTCAATACCCAAGCTTCTTGCTCTGAACGTGAGGCTCGTTCCGCTACCGTTGCATTCGATCCTATGAGATGAGACTCCAGTCCCCTTCATCTTCAAGGTAACGTCACCACCTTGGCATTCAGAAACACAAATAAAAAGACTAAATGTCCACTCCATAGAGATAGCATACGGCGCT